CATCCATGAATGAATTGATTGATGTTAAGGACAGCAGATGGGGCGTATACGCCGGGGAGGCTAGGCTACTGCTGAGAATGAAATGCACACGGAGATAATTGTTAGCTGCGGTCCCACACGCCGGGGAGCAAGAGTGTAAACGACTGAGGCTCGCATGCGTCACTGCTACTAGAACTGAGGCAGAATGAGTGACAAGCGATTTCAGTGGTAATTGGTAGTGAGTAGATAAGAGGATGTGCGTAGAGTATCATGATTTGGTGCTATGGTGACGTTGCATTCTGCAAGAGTCATTCTAGCAAGTGGCGATTGTGTTGCAAGATGTCAAGAGGATACCTTTATGTGGAGGCGCAGGTCGTCAGCGATGTGTGAGATTGTGCTGTGGTTATGCTTGTGGTGTGTTGGCTTTTCTGTTTGTTTTCCATTTCAGCTCTGTCCGTGTGACCCAGGCTCTCGCAATGGCATCCAAGTCAACGTGTATTGGTCGTGATGGAAAAAAGGAATAGATCCTTTTTTGCCGGGGAGTGTCAATGTAGTTGAAGATTGAACGATCAATTCATGGTTGTTTGCTCAAAACCAACTTCCCCAAATTTCGTGGAGGCATCAATACGACAGTCATCGTCTCATCGGTCGCTGTTCAGAAAGAAGTCAGGAGTAAACCATCAGAAGTAATATTGTGATTTATTATTGTAATATTTGTTCACAGACGTTAGTTGCAACAGTGTTTATATATTGGTGTAACAATAAAGAATTCTCGAGTCACCAATTGGTGCATTGGTTTTTTCGTCCGTTATTACTAAGCGTTTCTGAGAAACTTCAAGGAACAGCGTGAGCCCGAGCGTAGAAAGAGCTGGGCATTAACGGTTTACGAGACGTGGCTTACAAAGTTCATTCGACAAATAATGTCTCGGTGTGTTATTTATCGGGCAGATTGATTAATAATTCGTTACGTACCACTATACTTTCATAATGCCGAAGCGTTTCGCATATATGTTGGTTGATTTTTTGGGCTAAAGTTACGCAATAAATCCAGTTAATTTGCAGGATTTTTATTATATCCAATCAGTTAACGATTGATTGCTGAGAGCTCCATTGGTAGATTTAAACAAATGGATCACCTGTAACAGAATCGGCATATCGCCAAAATTAGCTGGAAGCTATAAACACAGCACTCCATCAGAACTAACTGAGGCCATAAACCCACAGAAACCGAAGACACTTAAGGTCAGCCGGGAAACGTTAGACTTGTATAAACTCTGAAGACAATGTAGTAGAGGCAGCAGGAATCTCCTGTATTGCCAAAAGAACAATTGGAACCCCTAGCATGCGTGGCACTGTTAAACAGTAACGACTCTCTGAAGCAGGCTGAAGGAAGACAGGCAGCGACGGACTTAATCCAAGATCAGTGGATAAAACTGTAGTACCCTGTTTAATGTATCACTGTAAGGCGAAAATCTACTTGAACAAAGGTACCGTTTGGTCAGGAACGATGGTCCGATTTTTGCAGCAGATAGTGGCCTGACATCCGGTTTGCAAAGCTGTATAGGATGTAAAAGGGCCTACAGGCACCTCAAAATAAGCCACCTCCATTTAGTGTGACACTGAGCTCTGTTGAGGTAGCTGAGAATGTATTAATACTGTCCCAAGCAAGGCTGGGGACAGGAACTTCAACATACGATTAGGACCTGATGGGCCATGGGTGGACAGGCAAGCGGCGCGGCAGTCATCGCAAGTAGTGCCCCAACCTCCTTGGACATACACGCGTTCTTGATCCGTGGACTGGCACTGTTTGTGAAAAACACAGTCACTATGTACAGTAATAGATGTGCCTATCATCTGAGATAGTCCTTGATGCTTTTAAGGTAGTCTCGGTTTGTAGAATAGCACGTGCGAGTAACCTCACACTGATCACCTCACAGGGACTACCAGATGTCAAATTCAGCTCCCACAAGCAATTGACCACTGTGTTCCGACAGCAGGCTAGAAGTAAAGTTGGGGGACATATCAGATGCCTGGAGAGCCGGCCTCAGACCCTGAGGAGGCAGCAAGCTGAGGTCACAATACGTTCCTATGCCTCAGTGGTGTTACGCAAGTGCGACAATGAGGATGACAACCAGCGTCACCCAAGCGTCTTAACCAAGCCTGAGGAGGAAAGCTACAACAGGCCAGTCCCATTGGAATTAGCCAACTAGTTCCTACATAAAATCCTCCACAAACAGGATAAACCATCCCAAAAGACGGAGAGGTGTTATGACAAACTATCAGTTACCTATACAGCACTGTGAGGCCACGAATAAGGAAGATAGTTTAACTCAGAAATATGCAGTCACATACACACCCTAAAGTAATAATCCTAGCTGAAACATAGCTACCCCCTGCTATGGTTCCCGGTGGAAAACGTCCAGATCATGACCATGAGGTCACAGTGTTCGATGTGATTCCCTGCGAGCTTTCGCAGCGGGATGCTACGTGACCCTATCTGTGCTACAGCAAAGCCGACTATGCCAAAATACGAAGACTTCTGTCTGATGCAGAATTACCCATAAAATGGGCTGAGTTACCCGTTGGTGAACACTAGGAAGTGGTAAAAAAGATTATTCACGTAGCACTATCAGAAACTGTCCTTCTAGTTACAACACAGCTAAAGAAAAGGTTCTCATGGTTGAAGAGAGGCACGCAGCGTATTCTGCAAGCAAAGCGGAAGGCTTGCTCTACTTAGCGAGTATTCAATAGTCATACCGACCAAGATGCGTACCCAGAACTCAGGAACTGGTGCAACACAAGAGCCAGGAGTGACGGAGGCTATTTCAAGCAAATCTCGTCACCAAACTCGTGACGAACCACAAAAGCCCGAACCGATTCACGTCGGAGGGAAAACCAACCAACCAGGAGCCTGCGCCTTAGTAGGTTCAAATGGAAATGGCTGAAACATTCAGTTCAGCACTAATATTTTACTGAAGAAAAAACTAGTGGCTACGCTCCGCATAAAACCGGCAGTGGTACTAAGATTGTTACAGAGACTCACATCTGGAAAGTTTTGAGGTTGTGACGGCATTAGACCAACTGCTCTGAAGCAATGCCTCGAAAATCTCTCTATGCCTTTATTTGATTTGTTCCAACATTCAATGGATTCAGGGAAACTGTAAAGGGAGTGGAAAAGAGCCATCCTTTCACCTATCTTCAAGGGTGTGCGTCGGCGAAACGCCACCAGTAACAGAATAAAGGCTCCCGGTGGTACCAGAAGTGCTGGGAAGTGTGACCATTGACCAAAGAATGCAACAACTCGGCAGGACTAACATACTCTATGGAGTGCAACATGCCTTCAGGGGAGGCAAATCCTATTATAAGCTTGGGATGGCTGAACATCATGCTGGGATAAGAATTTCCAAGTTCAGGTGGCCTTCCTCAACTTCGCGAAGGCATTTGACATGGTTCAGCATGACCTCCGTCATAAAACAAATCAGAATGGTATCGGGTGTCTACTTTTATCATGGACTACCTATAAGAAGGGGAACTCTGTACCAGCCTCAATGGGATCTGGCCATCCTAGGACAGTACGTCATCACCAGTGTCTCAGGATTCCATCCTAGGACCACTGACGTTTTCGACTTTTACCACTGACGTGCAATGCCGTCTAAACTGCCCAGCTCTTCTTCGCTCCGATGACGCAAAGACTTGGAGAGTAGTAAAGTGCTCACGCTACAGGCAGACTCTAAAGTCCTGGAAGACTAGACGCAGGCCAGTGGGGCGACTTTCAGCCTGATAAAGGCAAAATAGTGCACTTGCACATATGTAGGTCGTAGAATGTAAGTCACTGCCTGTGTAACGATGACTTGTTTGTGTAAGGTCACAGCGTACCTTAGGTATAGTTCTAACAGAAAATATGAACACAAACGTGAATTACGGGTGTGATGTGTCGACGGCATATGCAGTTATACCCTTCACTCATAGAGAGTTCGGTGCGGCCACTCCTGAGATCTTTCTAAAGTTACATGGATTATGGGTAATACTACACCTTTGTGTGCTCTTCCTTTACTCAGAATGGACGCTGGCGGTTTGGAAACGGTCAAAATATGGCTGACAAAAAGGATGATGATTCTCCGAAATAAAAGATATTATGAAAGGCTGAAGAAATGAGGTCTTTTCGAGGCGAGTTGCCGTCGGCTTATAGGGGACTTAATTACTGACCACAAGATTAAGGTTAACCAGAATTCCCTAAAATAAAGTATTTCGCGATTAAGTAAGTACAGGTTCCCTCGTGGCGATCGACGAATAGCAGTGCATTAGAGAGATAATGGTAGAGTGAGCTCCCATTCCTTTTCTCTTCAAGTTTGTCTACCCTGGAACTTTTTACCAGCAGATGTGGCTACCGCAACGTCCGTGGAAAGCTTTTCAAGAATGTTGGACAGGTTAAAGGATAAACTGTATTCACAGCAGCAATACTGTCTTAACACACCGCATACTACAAACCATATTTAGTCAGTCCCAGCACCACTCTCTTGGAGTCAACCAGAGCTACTATAATTCAGTGACGTGACGCACCCAGCAAAATTTTATCGAAGATCAGGAACTATTGGTTTACAACCAAAAAACGGGCACAAAGAAATCAATTTGGTTTAAACTAGCTCGTAAAAATCGATATCAGATATTTGAATCGCCTCCTAACTTGATATTAGGAAAATTTCATTGAGTCACTGATGTCTTCATGAATCGTTTTTCTGGAAGAGGAGAATAGAATGTATACTCGGAGCCCTATCCATAAAATAAAACGCTTCAAGCTGAAGCTGAATCAGAAGCCAAGGAGAAATCATATTGCTGTTGAGTACTGGTTCTCACATCGAGTCATAAACTCGTGGAACCGACTCCCAGAAGAAGTGGTGTCTGCAACCTCAACTGATTCGTTCAAGAAGGGTTTGGACAACCACAGAAATCTACTAGAAAATGATTAACATAGGCTGCAAGCCTTCTATCCTCAACCAATAAATCTGAATCTGAAGATATTGGATGTTGTAAGTTAAGGCGCGCATTCCAATCGTAGACCAGTTGGCGCGATGGTGAGTTGGCTTATTTGCTTGATTGGAAATTCAGGTTTTATTGGCTGCTTCTATTTGTACTCGAGATGGGAAAGGTATGTTTCTAAGGTCCAATTATGTAAAATTCCGTAGCTTTGGTATCTCGACAGTTCGTAGAAATGACAAAGGCGAGAATAGAAGGATTGATCGCTACCTTTCCAAAACTCCTTGGCACAGGTTAGTCCACTGACTTATTCTATATTTGTTTTATATATTTGCTATCTAATATTTTTTTAAAATTAAGTGCAAAATAATTCATATCACGGGACAAGAGAAAATGCCCATCAAACAAATCCTTAGTTTTAATAAACATCAGAAATAATGAAAAAATTAATCGTTACAAATTCTTGTAGAAATTCACTGTTTTTGTTCTTTAATAGGTAGCTGTGCCTTGGATTTTGTAAGACTTGGATTGCAGGTCATACAATAGCACAAACTTCAATATTCAGTTGTGAGAATATATAGGAACTAATTATGCCATTGTCATGAAGTTTTTGAATGAGTGCAGAGTTTAAAGGTAACAGGTCCAATCAGTTTCTACGCATGGCGTGACAAACATTTTATTTCCCTACGGACGGCGTAAAATTTCACTGAGACGAGCTTCGGTTAATTGGTCTGGGAATCCGATTTCCAACCTCATTATCGAGGGTCCGAATTCGGTGAAGGCATAATGTGTGGCTAACAGATTAATTGAAGTTATTAGAACATGAATATCTAGGGAAAACCGTTAGTATATTTGGCATATTAGAATATGATTGGAATTTCAAGGTAGATTAAAGAACAGAATCAGAAATATACATGGATCTCATAACACTATGATCTATATTCACCCTTTCAACAAACTTTAGTGTTGTATTGGTTCTTAATTGTAGTTAGTCTCTCAAGGTCAATGATGGGATCTCGGTGTGGCTGCTATAGTTTTAATTCCCCCTCCCCGAACTCTACCTCACTTTTGAGTATAGGTATGGGCTGTAGTAAAGCACATTTAAGCCTAAATAATTGTTGAGAAATGGTTTGACTAATTCGAGTAGTATCGTGCTTGTGGTACATGTTTGATAGGTGGTCACATCATTCTTAGTTCTTGCGAAATCAACGTGTGTGTTCAGGCAATAGTCTGTGAAGCAACAGTATCTTTGACTCGGAGAAGTACTGATATAATTTATCTCTATTCTTCCACTACTGAAGAACTGTTTCATTTCTGTGAACTCTTCATTAGGTTTACTTGGTAGTTGACATATGTTTGTTTAGAGCTTAAAATACAATGAATTTGGTCTTCTAGTGTTTTGAGAAAATCTTGTACAGCCTACTAGTCAAAACTTTCTGAGCATCTCCCCGCCCCCCCTAAATTATACGAGCAGTGTTTTTGATTGTAATTCGAACTTGCATATCTATTTAAGTTGTTAAGTGGTAATAAATTTTGTCTTATTGAGGTACCTCAGCATACCGAATAAATTCTACAAGGCAACTAGGTTGAAACAATAAAATCACACGATGCCTACTCAATAAGTACATTTCTGAATTCTAATTTAGCTCGTATATGATTCTGCTTATAAAGTAGCATTAAAAAAATTAGTTAATCAACTCATAATACTCAGTATCATTCAGCAGCGATGTACTACTGACTGAGTTTTTAAGGTAGGACTTTGGAAAGTTCAACAGTTCAGGTTGTCACACTTTATGTGGCATAATAAGATAGAAAAAACATTTCGAGCAACTCTAATAAACGGAAATTTGCAGAAGGAAAAGGATTTAATGCAAGTGCGCTATTTAGAGCCATTTGTTAGCCAAATCACTAACAGTCCCCAACCATTAGTTCCTAACTACTACTCGACGTTCCCAAACAAGGCATGTTGTGTTAAGACCTACGTGACTATTACTCCCTAATGTTAGATAATTGAAACAGTGTTCATATCAATGATCTAGTTAAAATGTCGGCTTCTTAAACACAACTCAATTTTCTAGTTCATTTCAGTTCTGGTGTCTGTCTGTCTGGATTCACCATAGAACTTGGCACCGAAGTGCAGCAGTTCGAGTTGCCACCTTCCAAATAGCACACAAAGGTAGACAAGAAGATGAGTGAAGAGAATCAATAGAGTTTGACAGGTATAAGAGCGAAACAGAATGGGAAATGGTAGAAAGAAATATGAAAGATTACAGAGACTGAATACATCTGTGCCATTGACAATGATTTTGAGCCATGCCACCTGCTGTTTCCAGCCATTAATTCCTAGAGTTTCGAGGGCCTCAACCCGGAAGTCTGCATCGCCATACCTGACTCAGTTTAACTGTCAAGGATATCATGGATTGATGCCATGTTTTTGTTCGGCCACCACTTACTCTTTTCCAACCTGCACCTATATCAGTTAGTAATGCCCGTCGAGGGAGGCGATGGTTAGGCATGCGCAGCACGTGACCTAGCCATCTCAATCTATTTAACTTTATAGCCTCGTAGATTGACTTTCCCTCTTTGCCCAACACTCTACGCCTAACGTCGACATTACTTACCCTTATTAAACCACCTAACGCGAGAAAGAGATCGCGGACATCTATGATCAAAAACAGTCAACCTTTACATGTCTTCTACAACTCGTATTGGCCATGTTTCAGAGCCATAGAGAAGGACGGAGTGAACTGCTGAGCAGTACACACGTCCCTTGATTGATAGCCGGATGTCACGCCTACGCCAGAGATGGTGTAAGTCAGCGAAAGCAGCTCGAGCTTTTCGGATCCATGCTGAGATTTCGTCGCCAATCAGTATGTTGGTGCCGATACAACTTCCCAAATAGGTGAAGTGGTCAACATGTTCTATCACTTCACTCCCTATCACTAAGCTAGGAGTTGACGTAGTCCAGTCCTGTAGCAGCATCTTACACTCTGCAGGGGCGAATCGCATGCCAGACATACGGAGATTGCTGCTCAAGGTGTTCAGAAGAATGTACATTTTGTCAGCATCCTCCCCTAACAGGACTATATCATCTGCATATTGTAAGTCCATAAAACTACTCCCTGGTAACCAGTCGATTCATAAGTCGTTACGTTCAGTCAAGGATACTTCCACTAGCATATCTATGATGAAGTTAAACAGGAATGGGGAAAGTGGACATCTCTGTCGGACACCACTGGTTGTTACCAATTCAGATGACAATTCCCCATAAGCCCTTACACGACTACGTGAGTTTGAATAGAGTGCCTTGATTAGTGCAATGTACTTTCTTGGCACTCCCTTCACAGTCAAACATTGCCATAGTACCTTTCGATCTACGGAGCCGAAGGCCGCCTTCAAGTCAAGAGATATGGCAATTGTTGGACGCCGAAAAGTGTCTATGTCCTAGAATCTATCGGAGAGTGAAGATATGATCTATGCACCCTCTACCTGGTCTAAAGCCTGCTTGATTTTCCATCGTTTTTTCCTCCCGAGTTTTGCTTAGTCTATGCATAATTACTGACCCTAGGATTTTAGAGACCATGTTCGTTAGGCTGATCCCCCTATGATTATCACACGAGGACTGGTGTAAAGCATTATCTGTGTGAAAGTATTTAAAGGAGCAGAATAGAATTTCAGGATAATGTCATCTAAAAGAAAACCCTTTCTTTGGATCATTTACACTTTATTTAATATTTTCTTTGTAATGGTATAGTGGACACTCAGAGACAAGCTCTGTAGGCTAAAAGACCCGGTGGGCTCAATTAAACAAAATAATATAATTTACAAAATACCCTGCAATGACTGTGAGTGAAGTCAACTACATAGGTCAGTCAAACTAGTAGATCGGAGGTAATCAGATTGTCGAAACATAAGAATTTGTGTAAGGTAAGAATGATTGACCCAGAGAAGATAAGTAATTTAGAAAAAAGAAGCTCGTCAATTGCACTATATCCATTAACACACAACAGGGTGGGAAGTGGAGGGTTAAGATTCCACAAAGTAATCTAGGTAGGTGAAGAGCGAGAGAGATTGATTAATGAATCCTGCCTGGTTCATCGAGTCTACACCCAAGAAATGCAACAGAAATGACTCAGTGCAAATACCAGAGATGTGTATGGAAGATATTATTACCGCCAGTCAGTCAGTCAAATCAGAGGAGGGTAATAAATAATCTCAAAATTCTATTTCAATTCACGTACATCACATCATTCGAACAAGTTACTTATTATGACTATAAAAACACTCGTCTTATTTCCCATCTGACTGTAATTGATGAATAACACTCGTATTATTAATATTTCTGAATGTACATTATCACATATTGATTTTTTATTCAAGTATCTAGTGAATTCCAAAGATGCATATAAATAGAGGAAGGAAGTTGTATGAGTGACTTGATATGATTGTGTGGCAATGGTTTGTGCTCGAAGTGCGGTTATCAGTTAATATTACTGTATAACATTGTGTGCGACTTTATCAAAATAAAATCTTATCCATAATGAAGTTATACTCTACCACCACACATTGACCAAGTTTTATACTTATATCAGACAAATTACGTGAAATAACTGATATATTTTCTTTTCATCTTTAGGTAAACAGCATACTTTTGTCGAAACTGAATCCGTACGATATGTCTATCAGCCACTGGAGAAATTGTATGTTCTCTTGATAACTACAAAAGCAAGTAATATACTTGAAGATTTGGAGACATTGCGACTTTTCGCAAGAGTAGTACGTTGGATATATATATATATATATATGCATTATTATTAATTATTATTATATCCTTTAATTCCTAGAGGAACATGGGGCTTCAGTCACGCGTCTCCATTGCCTTCGGTTTTCTGCCAACTTTTTCACTCCACTCCAAGTCTGCTCACATGCTTTCATCTCCTCTTCATATGACCTCCTCCAAGTTACCCCTGCACTGACGACCAACTCGCCGCTTCCCTTTCGACCAGGTTCCACTCGAGGGTTTGTCTAGTGATGTCACTTGATGGTTTGTTTCCTCAGTGTATGGCCAATCCATCTCCATTCATTCCTGGCTATTTGTTTCGCAATCGGTTCCTGGTTGGTTTGCTCCCAGAGATCCCTCGCTGTTGCTGATCTTTTTTGGCTGGCCATCTGATCTTGAGTATTGAGCGGAGACAACTGTTAATGAAGGTCTGAAGTTTGTTTGAGATGCTCTTTATGACGCGCCAAGTTTCTGATCCGTATGGTGAGTAGCACTGACTTCACATTGGAGTTGAAAATCCGGATCTTATTTTTGATGCTGAGTGATGTTGACCTCCACACAGACTTAAGGGTAGTGAAAGCCTGTCTTGCTTTTCCGATTCTGGCTTTGATATCCTCGTCAGTTCCGCCTGTAGTTGAAACGATACTTCCCAGGTAGGTAAAGGAGGTTGCTTCTTTCAGGTTCCTCCCATTTATGCTGGCTGATTGTTGTCTATTGTCACTGTTGGTGGTGGTGTTGACCAGGAATCTTCACCACCTCTGTTTTCTCTATGTTCACATGAGTTCCTATCTTCTCTGGATGCTTCTTGTGCCAACTTGTTGCTTTTCACTTGCATATCTTCTAGTTTGTGGGAAATCAGACATATATCGTCGGCGAAGTCCAGATCCTCCAAGTATTTCGTGTGGGTCAATTTTATGCCTGTTTCCTCATTACCGGCTCTATGTCGCATTATCCAGTCTACCGCAATCGGGAAGATCATTGATGATAGTAGACAGCCTTGCCTCACTCCCGTGCTCACTTCGAAGGCTTTTGTAAGTTTCCCGTTGTGGATTACTTGGCATGCAGGATTGTCGTATAACTGTTGGATGAGATGTATAATTGTCAATGGCTACACGGAATGTGGCGACTTGAACTTCCGCACATTTGTGCAAAGTTCTATGTCGAAAACAGACAGACAGACAGACAATGGCACCCCGTAGTAGCGAAGTAGTTCCCAAATGACCTCTCGGTCGACGCTGTCGAAGGCCTTTTCAATATTTATGCATGTAGATAATTTATTGCTTGTGTTTATTAATATTATTATTACATTTTTATTACTTTTTATTTATTTAATGTATTTATTTAGATACCTGAATATGGTTGTGGTACAGATGAAAGTGATATTATTGCACACGCTTTTCAACTTATATTCGCTTTTGATGAAATCATAGCTTTGGGCTATCGGGAAGATGTCAATCTCTCTCAGATACGTACCTATACAGAAATGGATTCACATGATGAGCGAGTTTTCCGTGCTGTTCAAGAGGTATGTTCGGTGTGTTTAAACAGTGTAGAATCTCTTTTTTAAAGCACATATAACCTCATTTAGCTAAATGTTGTTAAAATCTGTTTCTCTATCGATTTAGATGGTTAGGATACCTGTTACACATGTCTCGGCAAGCTATGTTAGCTGACACACGACTAGTTTAAAAATGAATTAGAATTGGTACAATCGAGAGTTGGAGTCAATTGGTGAAGTCTTTGACTATAGGTTTAGGCCAGCTACACAGGAACGTCTAGATTGCTTTCTTGGGGTCTTCAAGATTCTACGAACCAATAGCTTGAGACTGCTGGTGATATAGCTGAAAATCTTCTGAATGGAGCGGCTACATCCATATGCCAGTTAACGCCGTCTCTGGCGTAGATGTAATATCCGGCTATCGACCAAAGGGCGGGTGTACTGCTCATCAGTCCGTTCCGTCCTCCTTTATGGCTGTGAGACCTAGTCATTGAGAGTGGAGGGCATGAAAAGGCTGACCGTCTTTGATCATAGGGGCATGGGTTCTATCTCCCGTGTGAAGTGGTATAGTGAGGTGAACAATATTGAGGTTAGGCGTCGAGTGTCAGGTAAGGAGGGGAAATCAATCGACGAGGCTGTGAAATTACATCGACTGATATGGTTAGGACATGTGTTATGCATGCCTGGTCATCGCCTTCCTCGACCGAAGGGCAATGTTAGCTGACATAGAGTCAGGCTGGAAAAGAGCTAGCGGCGGTCAAACCAAAACATGACACCAGTCAATGAAATCCACAACAGTTAGTTTAAGCCAGCCAGCCACGTAGGAAGGTGTAGACGGTAAAAACCAATGGTTGGAAACAATTGTTGATATAGCTCAAAATCGTTCTCAATGGTGCAGGTACATCCACTCCCTGTGACTTATGTTCTTCGTTATTACTACTCCTTTGTCTCACACCTCTGTTTACTATCTCTAGTATGCATTTCTTCTACTTTCTTCTCTTGCTGCGTGGTACTTGGAGTGTGGCGACTTGAACTGGTGCACATATGTGCAAAGTTCCATGTCGAAAACAGACACATCCATACTGTGAAATCGATCATATCTGTTAAATCCTCATGGTATCCTATATTACTATTTTTTCTCCTGTACGTTTCTACTCATTTTAAGCCTTTTGAGTTTTTCTTTCCTCCACTTGTGTGCTACTTGAAATGTGACAATTTGGATTGTTTGAAATGTTACAGGATTTCATCATCAGCTGATTGACATCATTTAGAGAACCATTAGAAAACCACCTGGAAGTGCTGAGCAACCAACTGTTTCGTCCTAGTTTGCGACTCGTCACCAGTACGCACCCATCGTTGGCAATCGAACTAAAAACCTTCCGGTTTCAAGGTTAGCGAACTTGTAAACCATTAAGCTGAATCCCGACTTCTGCCGATTCACGATAGAGCGCGACCACTAGCCAATAACAGTCGTAGTGAGTATTTGTCTTCACACCCGACCTAGTGGGAAGTCTCAACCAGTAGGGTTCAGTACAGAAAAACGAAACAGGTATCCAGTACTCCCAGCTGGTTTTCCAGTGGTTCTGCAACCTATGTCAACTCGTGATTGAATCATGTACCCAATCAGATCCCTGCGGACCAACACTTGAGTGTTCGAAATGTGTTGCACAAATACTTTCCAACACTTACCAGATAAACTCCGTCTTCTAATAACTCTTCAAATTTATCTAACATAGTTGAATAGTACAGTATTTTGAGGTGTCCTATGTTTTAGTAAACAAGCTGTTGGAGAGTTAGTAATTAGTGTCTGATAAGTGGTCATCAAAGAAGTGTTATTATTATTATATTATTATTGTTCCCTTTGGTTCCTAGTGGAACATAGGGCTTCAACTGCACGTCTCCAATTGCTTCTGCTGTACTTTTCACCCGCAGCTATCTTAGTCCATACTGTTTCAGCTCCTCTTCACACGGTCTCCTCCATATCACCCTCGCACTAACGATCCACTCGCCGCTCCCTTTTCGGGTTCCACTCGAGCAATGGCCTGACGCGCAGTGTCACCTAGCGGCAGCCTCCCCAGCGAGTGTCCAATCCATCTCCACTTTCTCCTGCATATTTGTTAGTTGGCGATTGGTTCTTGTTTTGTTTGTTCCCATAGTTTCTTGTTGGTAGATTCTTTCCGGCCCAGCCATCTGATCTTCAGTATAGAGCGAAGACAGTTGTTGGTTGATAAAGGTCTGCAACAGGCTGTTGGAAATATTCCTTGTGACCCCCCCCCGTCAAGTTTCTGAACCGTATAGAAGAAGTGACTGTCTTGACGTTTGTATTGAAAATCCGACTGAATTTTGTTGTTGATGCTGAGTGGTGAAGATTTCCAGATTGGTTTCAGGTTGATGAATGTGTTTCTCGCCTTCCCGATTCTCGATCTGATATTCTCGTTCGTTCCGACTTCCTGTATTTGAGACAATGCTCCCTAAATGATAAGTGAATGAAGTAACCTCTTTCAAATCCCTCCCGTTGATGGCGATTGACGCTGGATGTCACTGCTGTTGTTGTTGGTTGGTTGGTTATTTTCATAACCTCCGTCTTGTCTATGTTCACCTGGAGTCCCGTTTTCGCTATCTGCTTCTTCGACCAGTTTGTCGGTTTTCGCTTGTAAGTCTTCGATTTTGTATGACATCAAACATAAATCATCCACGCGTGAAATCCAGGTCTTCTAGGTTCTTCACGTCGGTCCAGGATATCCCTGTCAGATAAGTGTTAGAACAGTAAAATACAAATCTTCTAGTTCGGCCGACATGATTATTTACGTGTATGGAGACTGAGTTCTTCGCACTTATGGTACTGCAATCCATAGCTTCCTAACATTCTTAAATGTTACCATGGAAACCTGGGTCACACTCGTTGTTTTCACCTGTATTCGTAAGCCTTTCAGCGCAGCATTTTAAATACTCTATACTTCTGGATCAGTTCTGATATTAACGTGAGCCTCATCAACATAGTAATATTAATTATTATTAGGCTGTTTTGACCCCAGAAATACTCTTAACAGTTAAGAACTACATTTAAACTTTGTGCAAAGCAGTAATGTAATTAATTAGTGCATTTCTTCATGCTTTCTTATGAGTTAGTTCATTATTACTACTTTTATTGTTTTATCAGAACAAGGAACGTGATGCTAAAGAGCATATGAAACAACGTGCCCGGGAACTACAACAAGCCCGAATGGAAGCTGGTAAACGAAGCGGTATGAATATTTCTGGCTTCTCAAATTATAGAGGTGGAATGTCAATGGGTAGCGGTTTAACCAATGATCTGAGTAAGTCCTCAGTATTTTTGTAGTTCATTTATTTGACACTTCTAATTATTGTTTTACCCCTGTCTCTCTTTTATTCAAAAGAGTTTCAAACTAAAATTGTATTATTGATTTATAGTGGCAATCTTTCTGTTGGATTCATCATCTTGTGTGCTAAGATTCCTTGTTGTGGATATCCTTTCCACTCGAACCCATCTATTCCTTAGCATCGAACGAAGTGGGGCCAGCTGTTGATAGGAAGTCTGCTGTTATTATTTTATTTTATTTAAACGCAGAAAAAACTTGGTACAATGTGGAACCAAGAAAGATGCGCCACACAATGATAATAAAGCAGCATAGATCAAAAGTAAAAATTAATATAAGTAGAGAACTGATAAAGAACTTCATCTGGAAGGAAAACAGTCAAGTTCCAACAGTATTCGTCAACTATCATCTGGAAGGGACGCAAGAAGGAAATTGCAGCACGTTCGCCATTGATGACTACGATTCTTGGCCATATCCGATAACGTTTCAAGCCATCGATTTGAGCTATCTCGCGACCCCAACCAAGGAGTCGTGACACACCAATCGATGCTAATCTAGCACAAAAATCCTCCATCCCACGACTCCACGTGATGGACTGACCACCCCTCCGCCTATTCCATCCCATCCCAGAGCTGGCCAGCAAACAGAGACCTGTACGGAAGCTTCTGGGATGACATTCGCAGCACATATCCAAGCTACCGGAGCGGGTGTTTCCAGATGACGACAGTCAATGAATGGTGATCTACACTGTGTTCAAACACACACCGCCGAACCTCAAAATTACTCACGCGATGATTCCATCGAACTCAAGCAATCCTTTGGAGACAGCGATGATAGAACACGTAGAGCCGCCGCCACACATCCTCAGGTCGTTAGAGGCCAGGTTTCACAGGCGTAGAACAAGACAGCCCGCACCGAAGCATTGTATACCCGACCTTTCACGTACAGCCTAACGTCGCGACGGCGCCATAGGTGGCTCAAGTTGATGTGTGCCACCCTAGCCTTCATGATGCGGTTGGAAATCTCATCCGTCACCCCTCCGCCAGCACTAACACAACTACCCAGATACACAAACTTATCAACAACTTTAAGCGGTTCAACCGCAAGAGTGAGTGCAGGTACAGGTTCCTGCCAATCTTGTAAGAGTACTTTACACTTAGACGATGCAAAGTACATACTATACTTACAGCCACTGTAGATTGTTGGATATGCTTTTGTGTGACATACGCGCGCTCCAAAACTCTGAATTGTATAGAAGTATTGATTTAAAATAAGTTTGTAAGATCCGAATTTTTTTACGCCGACTGCATCAGAGTTCCACACTGATTTCAGAGTAGTGGCATTGCATTTCTTTGCTTTCTGTTGTTCATATGAAGTGTCTATTCACTTTAATACTTCATGATAAGCTTCGTAATCAGCTGAGGTCTTTCTTCAATATAAATCAAATCTTGAAAAAGAGAAGACGTTCAGCGAAGAGACTCTTTTTTTCAACGGCGAATTCATTCACATACAATCGCATTTGTATGTAATTATTTGTGTGTGTGTGTGTACATGAGGTCTGTCAGGTTTAGATAATTAATCACGTAATACAAGATTGATCTAATAGAGAGACAAGGTTAATCAGATAGCAACTAAAGTAAGATTGAGTTAGTTAATGAGTTAGATGACGTAATATAACTGACTAAAATGTTTCAACCTAGGTCAGGGTAACAGCAGAGGTAATTACAGATAGAGACAAAGTAGGGGTGGGGTACAGAATAATGCTATTTAAATCAGGACCAAAATTGAGCAAATAAATTGGATGACTTAACATAAATGACTAGAAATTGAGCGTTTATCGAGTCAGTGACAGTGGTAATGAGGTGTAAAAATTAAATCGGGTGGGGGTAGAAAACAGAAAGTTGAAAATGTAAAATATACAATTGAAAAGAAAAGATAATACTAATGAAGAGACAAAAGGAAACAGAATTTACTTATCGGGTATTAAGACAGATTACGTCCATTGCAAGTGTAGTGATTGAACGAACTTCTTCTGCATTCAGAGTTCAGGACTTAGCAAGTGAATCGCCATTGCTTCTGCAGTTTAAAGAAGTCTGACTCGTACACTTTTAGAAAGACTGCTTCATATTCTGTTGACGACTTTGAAGTTTGTTTTAGGGTTTAGCTTGGTGTTCGGAATCAATCAGATCAGATGTTGTAAGGATAGAGTTGCAGGGGCATCGTTTTTCTCCTTCGTAAACCATACTGGTTAGTGTTCGGTGATACGCTTGGATAGCGAACACTGCGTACGGCCGACATACCTGGCTCCACACAAGCAGGTGGATTGGTAGATACACATTGATGAGGCAATCAGCAGTGGTAACTTATCCTTCACGTTCATACGAATCATAGGTTTTGTGGAGAAGGTTAATCGTAGTTTAAATCTTCACAAATCAAATACTGTAGTTGTATGATATCAGCTGAATAGGATTCAGTGAATTGAGTGAAGAAGTTACAGGATTTCATGATGAGCTGACATTAATTAGAGAACCATTGGAAAACCTGGGAGTACTGAACAGCTGTTTCGTACGATTTCAGGACTCTCCAGCAGTACGCATCCACCGGGGTTCAAACCCAGGACTTTCTGATTAAAAGGCTAGCGAGCTCGTGGACCATTAAGCCACTGGGATCTGATCCAATGGGCCATGAATTCATTAATTATTGACAAAATCCCCCAACCAATCTAACACTCCTACAAATCATTGGATCGCCGAAGACGTTGGATAGTGGTCGCGCTATGTCGTGAATTGGCAAAAGTTAGGATTCATGGGCCATTTGATCGGGTGGGTCCCAGTGTCTTAACGGTCTGCGAGCTCGCTAGCCTTGTAACCAGAAGTTCCTGGTTTCGAACCTCAGTGAGGTCGGTGCGCACTGATGACGAGTCGCAAAATAGGGTGAAACAGCCAATTGTCCAGTACTCCACTGTTGGTTTTTCAATGGTTCTCTAACCTATGCCAGCTCATGATAAAAGCCTTCCATCAATCAAACAAAATCCCTTCAATCCAGGAAATATGACTATTTCCTGGATTCTCCGCCTAAGGCTCATCTTATTTCCGCCGATCTGTTTCTCCCTAACTCCACTTAGTCTACGCAGAATTGTGAACGCCTGAATTTTAGATCCTATTTCAGTCAAACTTGTCCGCTTATGGTGATTATCACAGGAAGACTTGCATTCGTTTTTACAAACCGAGGGACAATCAAAGATTTACACCAGTCAAACGGGGTAAATTTCAGATTCTCCCACATAATACCTATTATCTTAGTCACCCTAGTCAATCATTTATCACATCACCATTTTTTAACATCTCTGAAGTCAAACCACCAGGTCCTACTGCTTCGCCTAGTTTTCGCATCTAGTTAGTTGTGAATTTCACCGTAATACTGACTGTTAGCATTATCATTATTATTTTCAATAAGAATATTTGTGCTTGCAGTCGTTTCTTTGGTCATATTTCCTCCCCCATTACTCTATGTGTATTGCATCAGATGAACCTCGTGTGATTGTCATGAAAGATCGTCTGGGCGATGGAAGTACAGACAATCTCGGCTTGTCTACCACAAACGTGACAAACAGTCTGTCCGTTAAACGAAGCGGAATGCAACTTGGGGGTCAAAGTGGTACAAAAAATGTCGATCAATTTGTCGATCGTTTAATGGCTGAAGGTGAAGTAGTCAATGAGGATGTCATGAAAATGGTTAGTGGTGGAACAGGTGGAGTTCATAACACAGTTAGTAGTCTAAACTCTACAGTATCTCAAAAATCTAATTTGAAAAAAGAAGAGTAAGTCCTCTATATGTTTGATTTTTTAACAGTTATGCTAGCTTTTATAGTTTTTATAGAGTTCACTCTACACTTACTTGTGTGTAGGTTCTTCTATATTCGTGTCCACCTTGCCTGGATCATGAGACGAATTTTAAACTTGAAGTTCCAGTGACGGTGGTGCTGTTGTTTTTTGTAAGAAGTGGAGTTTCTGTCTGTCTGTCTGTTTTGGACATAGAACTTGGCACCGATGTGCACCAGTTCAAGTCGCCACACTCCCTCCATGTAGCACACAAAGCAAGAGAAGAAAATAGAAGAAATGCATAACAGAGACAGTAAACAGAGAAGTAAGACGAAAAGAAAAGTAATATCGAAGAACAATATAGTTTTATTGGGTATTATAATTCACAAGGAGTAGGTGCATTTGCTCCATTGCGAACGATTTCGAGCTATATCACCGATTGTCTCCATCCTTCATTGGTTTTTACCGTCCCGAGGACCCCAACGAGTCAGGAAGTTTACACCTTCCTACGTGGCTGGCTCGCTTAAACTAACTGTTGTGGATTTGATTGACTGGTGAAGCCATGTTTTGGTTTGATCACCATTAGCTAGCTCTTCTCCAACCCTATGTCAGCTAACATTGTCCGTCAACGTCGAAGAAGGCGATGACTAGGCAAACGTAACACATATCCTAACCATTTCAGTCGATGTAATTTCGCAGCCTCGTCGATTGATTTCCCCTCTCACATACCTAGCACTCGACGCCTAGCCTCAGTATTGGTCACCATATTAGACCACTTCACACGGGAGATAGAGCGCTGGTATTTTTGATCGAAGACAGCTAATCTTTTCATGTTTTCCACTCTGAATGGTCAGATCTCATAGGTGACCATAAAGGAGAACGGAGCGAACTACTAAGCAGTACACCCGCCCTTTGGTCGACAGTCAGCCAGCTGGATATCACGTCGTCACCAGAGATGGCGTAGACTGGCATATGCGAAATCCGTGAAGACGGGAGTGAGGCAAGGCTGTCTACTATCGCCAATTATCTTCCTGATTGCAGTAGATTGAATAATGTGACAGACAGAGGGCAGCGAAGAAACAGGTATAAAATGGACCCTCACAAAAAACTTTGGGGATCTGGACTTCGCCGATGATATATGTCTGATTTCCCACGAACTGGAAGATATTCCACAAGTTGACACAAGAAGCATCCAGAGAAGATAGGACCTCATGTGAACATAGAGAAAACAGAGGTGATGAAGATTCCTGGCCAATACCAACAGCAACAACAACAGACAACAATCAGCCAGCATAAATGGGAGGAACCTGAAAGAAACACCCTTCTTTACCTACATACCTGGGAAGCATCGTTTCAACTACAGTTGGATGGAACTCATGAGGATATCAAAGCGAGGTTTATGAAAGCAAGGCAAGCTTTCATTGCTCTCAAGTCTATGTGGAGGTCAACAGCCCTGCTCAGCATCAAAAATAAGATCCGGATTTTCAACTCTAATGTGAAGTCAGTGCTACTCACTATACGGATCAGAGACTTAGCGTATCATAAAGAGCACTTCAAACAAACTACAGACCTTCATCAACAGCTGTCTTCGCTCAATACTAATCAAGATCAGATGGCCGACTAGAAAAGATCAGCAACCGGGATCTCTGGCAATGAGCGAACCAACCTAGCAGGAACCGATTATGCAACAAGTAAGCAGGAAGAAATGGAGGTGGATTGACCATACTCTGAAGAAACCATCAAGTGACACCACACGCCATTAGTCTAGTGGAACCTGAACGAGAAGCGGCGAGTTGGTCGTCAGTGCAAGGGTGACTCGGAGGAGGTCATGTGAAGAGGAGATGAAAGCATGTGGGCAGACTTGGAGCCAGGTGAAAACTCTAGCAGAGAACCGGACGCAATGGAGACGTGCAGGTGGAACCCTATGTTCCTCTAGGAATTAATGGAAATAATAATAATTCCTCATTATTCTCCGTATACTTGCTCTTTCTCCCGTACATATCTGCTCATAATGGTTCCTTTGAATTTTCTCTCTTTGCTATATATGGAGTGTAGTAATCTGAGAGAACAGCTTCACTTCTCTTCAAAGTTCTACGTTGAAACTCAGTCAATCAGTCAGACCACAGTAATCTTGTAAGAATATGTAATCTTCAAGTGTTGGTTTACAGGGATTTGACCGGTTACATGATTTCATCATGAGCTGAAATCAGTTAGAGAACTATTGGAAAACCAACAGGTGGTACTGAACTGTTGTTTCGTCAGTCTGGGTTTCAAACCCACGGCCTTCCGGTTACAAAGCTAGCTGGCCTGTAGACCATTCGGCCACTGGAAACCGATCCAATGGCCATACCATGGATTTCAGCTTCTACCAATTCACGATATAGCGCGACTGGCACTAGCCAGTGTCATCTCCGGTGAGTATTTGTCCTCACAGCCGACCTACTGTATCGCTCCCACTGGAACCTATTTATATAACTACCTAACCTACTTGAAAAAGGGCCAGTCGCCACTGTGAGCATCAGATGCATATTCAAGTGTTGGTTTGCAGAGACATTGGTCAGAGAACCGTTGGAAACCAGCATGGAGTACTGGTCAGTTAGGTGTGTTTCGTCTCAGTTTGAGACTCCTCAGTACATTATGTTCATTATCTTCAGTATGTATTATCTTATCAGCTGCTTCTTATTGTTTGTTTGTTCTCTTTATATTTTCCCCCAATAGTTTACATTTACGTATTGATGAAAAGTTAATTATACAAGCAGGTCGTGATGGTGGTTTAGAAAGTATGGAATTACAAGGAACAATGTTTGCACAAGCTAATACAAACGAGGTGTGTACAGCTAAAATTAGAGTAGATACAAGTTTGTGTACAAATCCTACCAGTGAACATCGACCACCTGTACAACTTCAAACACATCCAAATATTGATAAAAAAGTTTTTATGGTAAGTAGTAGTAGTAGTCATCAGTCAGTCAGTCAGTTCATGTATTTGATTTGAATTACCAAGCTGTTGTCGCTGTCGTCCATCATCGATCGCTTCAGCTCAGGTTTTTTAAGTATGAAACAAACTTTTTTGAATTCTCCATGAATGATGGATGATATAGTTATATCTCCTGGCCGACCATTGTGTCGCCGCAACTGGTTGTCAAATTTACATCTCTGTTGATCATTTCTATTGACTTTGAATCTGGACTTTTCTAGTCATGTGGTTTGGTTGGTTGGTCTCTAGTAATGTGAGTTTGTTAATCGCTGGTTGATTTACTTGAGTATCAGTCAGGCTTCTGGAAATTCCTTGACAGTACTTCCTGCTGTTTCCTTTATTTAGGATTTCCACATTATCCCAATCATCAAATTGGTGTCCATAAATTATCTACATGCTTTGATATGAAACGGGAAAACACATATCGTGCCTTTTCACAGTTAATTTGTGTTCTTGGATTCGGACACGAAGGCGACGTTCACTTTGATCAAATTAATGTTTATCGGAATTCGTTCAATTTATTTTGTAGATGGTGCTAATCTTATCTTCTTTTTTTGTCTTGTTAGATTGGTCTTTTGTTTTTTGCACAATATCGAATGAAGTGATTGTGTTGGCTTGTGTGCTATACCTATTTCAAATGGTCCTAATATTTCTAGCTGTTAGCCATTTCAGAGATATTTTCGCTACCTGTGGTAGAGTGAATTTTCCTGTGGTCTTTGATGATGTTTTCTTGTTGGTGTTTTTCGACTTGAGTTTAAAACACTTTTTGATGAAATTGTGTATGGTATTCATTCTTCCTTCCGCTTCCTTGAGCAGTATTGAGTCCAACTGGCTTGTGGTATGTCCGTCAGGCGAAATCCATGCTGCCTTGTGCACATCCTTGTGTTTGTACTCTCCCTCTCCGATCACCAAATCAATGAAAGCACAGAAGTCTTAGAATAACTCTCATTCTTTTCGACGAGAGAAAGCCTTTCGACTCATGATGAGTTCTTTTCTTGTAGTATCTGCTCCTAGTTCGGTTGGCATTCATGTCGTCCATGAGGATTTTAATGTCACCGTTTGGGATGTTGTCCAGTACAGTTTTGTAGTTGTCTGTAAAACTCTTCCTTCTTGTCTTATTCCGTGTTATTTGTAGCACTATGCGTAGCATTGGGCAATTATAACCTTCCTTCCTTTTGAGTTAAATCTTGCTGTCGTGATCCTGGATGAAATTGGTTCTCACTGCATTTGGGGTTTTGGCTGCCACTGGTCTTATCATGATAACCACTCACTGCCTCAATGTGCTCGTGGTTGTCGTATGAGTAACCAGACCGGAGTAGATTACTGACTCCACTTGACAATTTTGACAATCCATATCCATTCTATCTGCTCTCGCAGATAACCCCAACACTTGTATGCCATATCTTTGCATTTTTTAGTTACCTGGGCAGCCTTCTCAGCCAGCCTCGTACATTGTACGGATATTCCACGTCCTCATTCTTATTTTTGCTTTCGTCGAAAGAAGACATCTGCTGGCTGGCTTCCCAACGGGTTTTACTCGCCCGCCTCTCTGATTCCAGCGAAGAATAAGTTTATTTTTTCTATACATATTTTTTTGTATTTTTAATATTTCCCTTGTGCGTTGAAGTTTCTGTAGCCAGTTTGATTGATTTTGTGGAGTAGGGTCGTCTCTAGCACCACGCCCAAACCTCTTTTTTTAATGGGTTTTGGACAGGCTAGTAAATTGGGCGAGGCTCTCTTATATTGTGTGTTAGAGATTTTCGTTAAGGATATCATGGCTTACATATTATTGTTTTCTGTTTGTTTGTTTATTTCTTGTGCCTTCACAGTCCACTGGTTGGATTCAAATCAAATCCGGTGGTAAACCATTGCCCACTGGTCAAGAAGTTGGTATTTTAAGATGGCGTTTCCAAACACAAGATGAAAGTGCTCTTCCGATAACAGGTAAGTAAGACAGTGAGACAATAACGTTGATGTTATTTGTTCTGTTCTGTTTTTTTTATTTAATGCATACTGGTAGTCGGATATACTCCTGTTGAGTGGGCAGGGAGGTGCGGGTGGAATGGGAGTCATAAAGTCAGTTGTGCCACGTCTCTCCTCTGACCGGAATGATTTAAGAAAGGTTTGTCACGAAATTTTTACCTCCAAACTTACTGTGCTGGCGGTATAGTTTTTTGGTGCATATGAAACTTCAACCTTAATCCGATGCGAGGGGTTGCACTCTAGGCTCTGTAGTCACGTAAAACTGATTGTTTTCCTCTTCAAGGAAGAACTTAGTTTTCACAGCTAGAAGAAGGAAGTAGTGACCTCCCTCTCTCCACATGCACACACACACTTGTCCATTATTATTATTATTTCCTTTAATTCGTAGAGGAACATTGGGCTTCAGCTGCGCGTCTCCATTGCGCTCGGTTATCTGCCAACGTTTTCACCTGGCTCCAGGTCTGCCCACATGCTTTCATTTCCTCTTCACATGACCTCCTCCGAGTTACCCTTGCACTGACGACTAACTCACCGCTTCTCATTCGGGTTCCACTCGAGCAATGGGTTGTCTAGTGATGTCACTTGATGGTTTCCTCAGAGTATGACCAATTCACCTCTATTTCTTCCTACGTATTTGCTGCACAGTCGGTTCGTTGTTGGTTCGCTGTTGTTGTTCTTTTCTGGCCAACTAATCTTGAGTAGCATTGAGCGAACACAGCTATTGATGAGTTTCTGTAGTTTGTTTGAGGTGCTCTTTGTGACACGCCAAGTTTCTGATCCGTATAGTAGCACTGACTTCACATTGGAGTTGAGAATTCGGATCTTATTTTTCATGCTGATTGCTGTGTGCTCTTGACCTCCACACAGACTTGAGAGCAATGAAAGCTTGCCTTGCTTTCATGAACCTCGCTTTGATATCCTCATGAGTTCCATCCAACTGTAGTTGAAACGATGCTTCCCAGGTATGTAGGTAAAGGATGGTGTTTCTTTCAGGTTTCTCCCATTTATGCTGGCTGATTGTTGTCTATTGTCACTGTTGGTGGTGGTGTTGACCAGGAATCTTCATCACCTCTGTTTTCTTTATATTCACATGAAGTCCTATCTTCTCCGGATGCTTCTTGTTCCAACTTGTGGAATATCTTCCAGTTCGTGGGAAATCAGTCATATATCATCGGCGAAGTCCAGATCCTCAAAGTTTTTTGTGAGGGTCCATTTTATGCCTGTTTCCTTATTGCCCTCTGTCTGTCACATAGTTCAATCTACTGCAATCAGGAAGATCATTGGCGATAGTAGACAGCCTTGCCTCACTCCCGTCCACACTTCGAAAGATTCCGTGAGTTCCCCGTTGTGGATTACTTGGCATGCAGCATTGTCGTACAACTGTTGAATGTGACGTATAATTGTCGATGGCGCCCCGTAGTAGCGAAGTAGTTCTCAAATGACCTCTCGGTCGACGCTGTCGAATGCCTTTTCAAAGTCGATGAAGTTGAGATAGAGAGGTGACTGTCATTCTTAGCTCTGTTCAATGATGATCCGTAGTGTGGCGATTTGATCAATGCATGATTTGTTTCTCCTGAATTCAGCCTGTTCCGGTCGAAGTTTTCATCCATAAGCAGAAAAATTCCTCTCGTTCATCACATCCTCCTCATTTTTTGCGTTCCCCTCACTGCTCTTTTGTTGTGTCTTGGTAGTTGCTGACAGCGCTTAAGTCTGGGAACCACATATCATCAACTTCATGTTCTCAACGGAAAAATATACCCGGCTAGTTAAAGCTCTAGGGTTTCAGATGTTTATGCTATATCTCACAGATATGCGCGTACATGACCCAAGTGTTATTATTCACATTTGACTTCTTTATACGTGACCAACATTGCTGAACTGACTACATTCAGGCGACGATTTTTAAGGCGATTCTTGGGTTACTGCTTATCGACATGCTGGTGATGTAGGGTGGTGGTGGTTTAGCATTAAGCTAAAGAGTGGCTTCATCTGCAAGGTGCCATGCAAATGGCAACTGTAGCAGCTTGCAGCTTAAGAAAATTCTCTACTAAAAACCACTGGGTTCCTGCGAGTTCCTTGCAACTCCTGGATGAACATCAGTCCATTCCGTCTGCCAGTGAATACAATAATATATGCGCTTACGTGCAAGATTAGACAGTATTCACGTAAGGACCGCAAAGCCTGGTGGTCAAAACGTGCGTGTGAGATGTAGCCAGCTGCCTCATCAGGTAGGAGCCAGAAGCTGTTCCAGCTCATTCGAGCCACTGGCAGCAAGAAACAAAGTGTCCTCGAGACGGTCTGTGAGATAGATGACATACCAATTACCAACCTGAAAAGCTGTTTGGAACGCTGGGCGGAGCACTTTGAGAAACAGTTTAGCTGTCCACCAGCTCAAGTAGTCCTTGGTCAGTCAGTACCTACCCATCAGTCGAGGCGGAGGTGCAGAAGCAACTCAAAGCACTGAAATGCCATAAGGCATCCGGCCCAGAAAGTCCACCTCCTGCCCTTTTTAAAGATGTTGGCGAGACTCTCCCCATGGCTTTAATTGGATTATTGAAGAAGGTATGGGAGATTGAGGATGTGCCGTCAATATGCAATGAACCTACTATCCTTCCCATCTTTAAAAACGGTCGATGTAACACATGTGACAACCAATTATAGGGGTATCAGTCCCTGGTTGAAGTCCAAAAGATAACTCGAATCGGTGGCTCAAAACATTATTGGATATGGTCAAAAATCGCGATCAATGGCCAACGTGCTTCTTTTGTTTTCCTTTGTCGACAATAATTGACGAATCCTGTTTTGAACTTGTTAAATATGACTGTTTGCCACCCAGGTGAAGTTCTTTATCCGTTCTCCATCCATATTTTTTTTTTACTTTTAATCTGTTTGTTTTATTATTTTCGTGTGGCGCATCTTTCTTGGTGCCATATTGTATCAAGGTTTTTTCTGCGTTTGAATAAATAATATAAAATAAAATCGTACCACTCCACTCAAACTCATACAGATATGTAGGGTCTGCAATGGGGGGAGTTGTCACCTCAACTGACGACAACAGGTGGTGTTCGTTGTCCGCTGTCTGATTTTGCTGTTCTTTTTATGAACATTCTTTTATGAGCAACAGAGAGAGATGTTTAGCAAATACAGCTAACTATCTTTTCGGTGATTTCATTCTCAAAAGCAGCTGTACAATCACATTTGTCTGCATAAGTTTACTGTATTATTTTATCCTTTAATGCCTAGAGGAACATAGGGCTTCAGCTGCGCGTCTCCATTACCTTCAGTTTCCTGCCAGCTTTTTCACCTGGCTCAAAGTCTGCCACCCACATGCTTTCATCTCCTCTTCATATGACCTCCTCTAAGTCACCCGTGGACGACCAACTTGCATAAATTTACACAGATCAAATTGGTATTTAATTCTGCATAATCGCGAAGAAGATTAACGGCGCTAATAACTGTCAGCGTGATATGAAAGTTTGAAGGTGTGTGAATATAGATTATTACAAGCAGCTTAAAGGCAAGATTTCCAACAGGTTGCAGACCTTTATCAACAACTGTCAACTATCGCTCTATACTGAGGATCAGATGGCTGAGCCGGAAAGAATCACCGACAAGAAACTATGGGGACAAACAAAACAAGAACCAATCGCCAACCAACAAATATGCAGGAGAAAGTGGAGATGACACATTGGACACTGGCTGAAGAGGCCGCTGGGTGACATCGCGCGCGCGTCAGGCCATTGCTCGAGTGGAACCCGAAAGTGAAGCGGCGAGTGCGGCGTCAGTGCAAGAGTGACATGGAGGAGATGTTGTAAAGAGGACTTGAAACAGTTTGGACTAACATGGATGCAGGTGAAAAGTACAGCAGAAGGAAGACAGAGGCAAGTGGAGACGTGCAGTTGAAGCCCTATGTTCCACTAGGAACCCAAGAGAACAATAATAATAATAATATAGAGGCAAGATTACATAAGATTAGAAAGTAGTTTTTTTTTGACGAAACCCAAGGACAAAACCAAAATAAATCCATGGTAAATGTAGAGGTTGGACTATAGTTTCTTTTGATGAACACATAGTTCCGCCCCTACGATGCCTATAATGAGGCCTTCTGCTAATACAAAAAACAGTCGAAAACATATTGCCTTTCTTGAGCATTAAAAAAATTAATTGTCAACCGTTCTAGTGAGAATTCGTAATCATCAAGTGGACGGAGTTCAGCAAGTCAGAACAGTGTTACTCTGGCACAGTTGACACTGACTGGCGATTGTGTTAAATTATGCATTACGAATTGGCAGAAGTTGGAATTCATGAAGCATTGGGTTGGGTCCCAATTACTTAGTGATCTACAAATTCACCTCGTTCGTGAAGGGCCCTGGGTTGGAACCTCGGCGGGCCCGAGTCCCGAACTAGGACGAAACAACTGGCTACCCAGTGCTCCTAGCTGGTTTTCCAGTGGTTTTCTCAACTCACGATCAGTCTTGCAGTTGTTTATTGGGTTATTGAGAAGTCTGATGTTGTGCTAGCCTACACTATTAATAATAATAATAATTGTTATTTTTCATGAAAATGATTTTAGTCAACTGTTGGCCAAATGAAATACCTGGTGGTTTCGAGGTCAATGTCGAATATGAGTTGCAGGATACAGAATTACAGTTAGAAAATTTAGTCATGTCTATACCACTGCCGTAAGTAGTTTGTTTTTGCAAAATCCCTTTATTATGATTTTTTACTACATTATTATTCTGTCTGTCTGTTTTCAACATAGAACTTGGCACCGATGTGCACCAGTTCAAGTCGCCACACTCCCGCCATGTAGCACACAAAGCAAGAGAAGAAAATAGAAGAAATGCATAACAGAGACAGTATACAGAGCTGTGAGACAAAGGAATAGTAATAACGAAGAACAATATAGTTTCATTGGAAATTATAAGTCACACAGAGTGGATGCATCTACACCATCCATTGAGAACGATTTTGAGCCATATCACCAATAATTGTCTCCAGTCTTCATTGGCTTTTACCGTCCCGAGAACCCCAACGAGTCAGGAAGTCTACACCTTCCTACGTGGCTGGCTCGCTTAAACTAACTGTTGTGGATTTGATTGACTGGTGAAGCCATGTTTTGGTTTGACCACCGCTAGCTCTTTTCCAACCTGACCCTATGTCAGCTAACATTGTCCGTCAACATCGAGGAAGGCGATGACTAGGCATACGTAATATATGTCCTAACCATCTCAGTCGATGTAATTTCGCAACGTCGTTGATTGATTCCCGCCCCCCCCCCTTACCTAACACTCGACCGATGCCTAACCTCAATATTGCTCACCTTATTATACCAGTTCAGACGGGAGATAGAGTGCAGGCACCTATGATCAAAGACAACTAGCTAGCCTTTTCATGTTTTCCACTCTCAGTGGCCAGTTCTCACAGCTAAGCCATAAAGGAGGATGTAGCGGACTGGTGAGCAGTACATCCGCCCTTTGGTAGACAACCAGCCGGATATCATGTCTACTCCAGAGACGTCGTAAACTGGCATATGCGAAACTAGCCCTCTGTATCTGTGCTGAGATTTCGTCAGAGATCAACCCGCTGGCGTTGGCTGATAGTACTTTCAAAATAGGTGAAGCGATCAACGTGCTCTACCACTTCAGTCCAGTCCTGTAACATTATCTTACATTTAACAACGCGAGCGAATCGCATGCCAAACATTCATAGATTGCAGCTCAAGGTGTTCAAAAGACTCTGCATTTTGTCAGCATCCTCGCTTAGAAGGACAATATCATCTGCATATTCTAAGTCAACAAGATTATTCCCTGGTAGCAAGTCAATCCCTGAGTCTCTAAAGTTAGTTATTGTTAAGTCCATTAGTACATCTATGATGAAATTGAATAGAAATGGGGATAATGGGCATCTCTCGCTGACGGACTCCACTAGTCGTCACCACTTCAGATGACAACTCACCGTAAGCCCTCACCTGACTAACTGCATGAGCTCGAGTAGAGTGCCTTGATCCTATACATTATTATTAGTTAACTTACTAACCACACACGTGGTCTGGGGTTCGATCCCTGGCCGACACAGTCCTAAACTTCGCTTCTCCAGTAGTAAATCCGGTGAAGAGGGTAGATTAGGTGCGCGAGGCTAGGAACCCTACTGCATAAAAAATTAAACACCAATGCTATTGAAGCTTCATTACTCAAGTATAAAGCCTAGTATTCCATTCAAAACGGAAAGGAACATGTATAAGTGTATATCGTCCATTGTGATTATTCGCATACATGAAATTAGAGAAATCTAAGCTATAAGTATTATTCCCATTGGTATATTTAAAGCTGAACACATTAGATTCTTCTTCAGGCTTTACGCTATCTAATACACACCTTTGAATATCTCTGTGAAGTTTCACCAATGACGATTTGTTTTGTATAAACGTGTTTCTTCACAACAGGCTACTCATGTTCCAGACTATGAGCTAAGCTAATTTTGTGTGTGTGTGCGTGTGTGTGTTAAGACTAATCATACTACATCTGATCGCCTAGACTGAAGTCGACGGAGCGGGAGTTGAACTCCCAGGAACCCACTGGCGGCGGCTGAATGTCGAATAATTCATATCTCCACTGTGATTTGTGGGCCAATGTCATAAATTATACAGATCATGGTAACAGTAGCAATAATAACAGTGATAGCAAAAGAACAGATCTCATCTTGATTCATGGTGGCTGACAGTGGAGTACAGGATGTGTGTGCGTTGACAAAGACACCGATAAGAAAGATGAAAGTGTCATGTATCATAATGTGTAAACGTTTCAATGATTCAATATAGTGAGGCTCGGTCACAGATTGATATCATTTGGAGAATCATTGTAAATCGGGGGAGTACTGGACAAAATGTTCCATCCTAGTTTATGACTCTTAATCAGCATACACCAATTCTCCCCTACCAGGGTTTGAGCCTGGCACCTCCAGACTATATGAGGCCAAGCTCGTTGGCCAATCCAGTCACTACTTGAGCAGGAATTCAGTGACCTGTGTGTGTGTGTGTGAATTCTTACTTCTGCTAATTTGCGTTACATAGTGTCACTGCTGGTCATACTCTCTACCTGGTGGACTCAGCTAGTGTCGACTTCTAAAAAAAAACTTCGGTCAAATTCCTCCTGTAGTCAGTCAGTCAGTCGTTAGTGAGCATCAGGTAGGGATTTGATCCCTAGTGGGTGGGAAGTCATGGGTGCGTAATACTTAAAACTCCCAAAGTCCCAGGGCATCAAATGTGAGTAGAATAAGGAAAGATAAGAAGTTCCAACGACAGACGAGACGAGTGGTGGAAGACAAACTTCTTTTAAGCGCATTCAATGAGAAAGATTAGTGTTATCCTCCCGAATATCTCTCATACCGTGCGTTATGTGTAAATGAGGAGTTCGAAATCCTGAACAGCTTCTTTCATGGCTAGGAAAAGGTGAGATTAAGTCAATAAAAAGTCTGAATTTCTTCTCATTTGATGGTTGATTGATGGTGTTCATCAGGTGGATAGAAGAAGAAAAAAAGGAGGCCACTTTAATGGTTTTTTTCTATTGTATTCTGTCAAACTATGACTGAATGACTCAGTTTCACCCATACATAGAGAACTTTGCACAAAAGTGTAGCAGTGTTCAAGCTACCAACCACACTCTCTATATAGCCGAAATTGGTAGACAGTAATTTACGTCAATGTTTACGTCCCCAATATTGGTCGTGAGAAAAATAAGAACAAAAACTGACTCAACTGAACAATCAATCTCAGGAGACTGTGCATAGGCAGATGCAATTAGCAGATGGATGATCTGAACTTCAAGAAACGGCCACAAACAAATGATTGATTAACGTTCAACGAAAAACTACAATTCAGAAGACTGTGTTTGTTTGCTTAAAATAATCTATAATAATGTACATGAAAATGTATAAATATGTGTTGATTTCCCAAACAAAGGATCTGTTGCTTGACCCTTGTCTTCTGTTGTTTCACCTGCACTGAAGTATTGTTGTCTAGAAGGAGGATGACGATGGAAGAAGCTTCACAATTAAATCATCCATCTCAGCTACAAATTTTATCTCTCTCTCTCTCTTATTTGTATTTCCCCTTCTGTTAGCCCTTCATCTAAACCACCATTGGTTGGTAATTGTGACGGTGAATATGAATTAAATCCTCGGAATAAAAATCAATTGGATTGGTCTATCCCATTAGTCAATGCTGACAATGCATCAGGATCACTGGAATTCACCTTGAAAACAGAACGTGGTTGTCAAGCCGAACAATTTTTCCCATTGAAGTTAGACTTTAAATCAAATAAACCATATTGTGGAATTCAGGTAATATTTTTATTTATTTATTTTTTGATTAGAGCTTGATTCTTCCACACCGTATTTTTGGTACAAGCATGGAATTTTCAGCATATGTTATCGGTAGCCCAAATTTTGCAGGCCGACCATACATGATATCAGGTGTGCGTCGGCAGGAGATTGAACCCCGGACCATGTGCATGATCGGCGAGCGTCATAACCGTTGTGCCACCGACGCACAGATGAGTTACCTGAAATTCTGCTGCCAATCGTCATAACTTGGAAAGAAAAAGTTAGTCAACCCCAGATAGATAGAGATATACTCAGCAATTTGCCTGTGTATTGCTTTGTCGCAATGGAGTTGTTCGGCATCACTTCTTTTTGTCCTCTGTGGATTAAAATGACGAAATCGGCACATTGTGTTCGTCCACACGCCTACAAAACCTACCCAAAATCTGGATAATATCGATCTCCCCCGTTTCTTAGTGTCTACTGCACGGTTATCCTGAAACTCTAGTGAGATAAAGTCGTAGCTCCAGTGGGTTGGTTGGTTGGCGGTAGCTTGGTATATCATGAATTGATTGGAGTGGAGTTCGAATTTGTACAAGTCATTGAAATCCGTCTCAGTCAGTGGCAGTGACTGAATCATCAGCGAGCCGGCCTTGTAACCACCTGAAGCAAGAGGTGGTCCAGGGTTCGAATAAGGATAAAAACGTTACGTAACATTGTGTCGAACTTCGACAGCATAGAATTTAACGCTTCAAAACAAAATTGATCTAGAATGACAAGTGGAATGAGTAAATTCATACCAGGGGTGCGTCGGTGGCATAGCCGTTAGGACGCTCGTCGACCATACACATGGTCCGGGGTTCGATCCCCAGCCACTGACGCACTCCTCCTTTACCTCGATAAGCCAGAAATAATGATGGCAAAGAGGAAAGGTCGGGCGTGAGGCTGGCTTGCAACCCCATCCTGTAGAATTAAACACCACTGCTACAGAAACTTCAACTACTAGCTTGAAGCCCTGTGTTCCACTGTAGAACGTGAAGGAAAAAAAGAAGAAACAGGAAAGGACAAATTCACAGTGAGAATAACAATAATTAGTAACAAATGACATGATAAAGGATTAATGTAGAAATTGAATAGACAAAACGCAAAAATAATAATTAATAGAGCTAAAATATGATTACGGATAACCATACTTTAGCATAAAGAGAGGGATTAAGATATCATGAAGGTTGGAGGAGTTGAAGGAACTTCTTCTATATATACACACAGAGATCTGACTTTTCTGTTTTGATGACCAACGCTTCAGCAATGTGTAGATGTGATGACTCAGTGATTTGGTCAAATTATTTTTCACCTTGTAAATGAAGCTGTAGATAGAGGGTGATCAGTATCGACTAGATGTTCAATGATTGCACTTCTTATTGCTCCGCTTCCACCTCTTCGTAACTACCATGCAGGATAATGTTCTTGTACCCTCTTGGAAAAAGCTCGAGTTGAACAACCTATATACCTTTAGTTGCACATGAGCAGGTGAATTGATAAATGCTCATATAGTTGGTTAACTGAGGGATCTTGGCCTTCAGGTTATTGAAAGCCCATATGTATAGGATTGTAAAGCTTGATAATAAACTCGTTGGCGGGAGTCTCTTCTCTGAATCACTTGTTTTGATTTTCTATATGTCCCAATGGGAATTTTTCACGACCATATGTATATATATATATATATATATATATATATATATGTGAAGCAAGTTACCAAGCTGTGTTGATACATTAATATAGTGATGGGCAGTAATAAAAATTAGAGTTAAACTAGTGGATGGTGACTAGCAATGGAATCCACTAGGATGCGTATTTCCTCCTATTCGGGAATCGTCAGCTGAATGTTCTTGCATTCCCCAGTGAGTGATGATGTTCTCACCGAGGCTCGAACCCAGTGCTCATAGTTTCAAATACCAAAGCGTTATCCAATTGGGACACAAGAGGCACCTCATGTGCAACGGGTCATTAATTATTTAATTGAATTTTAGATTTTCTCGTCGATTTCTTGGGCATCGAGATGACGAGTCCCAAATAGGACGAAATGCGCATCCTGATGGATTTCGCTGCTAGTCACCATCCACCAGTTAAATTGTAACTACACGCCCAGACATTGTCAAAGCATCTGCACAAGAAGCCAACAGACATGTCAACCTGAGATCGAGCACTTTGGTCCAACCAGTCGACGGGAAAATCTAAAATTCAAGTAAATAAGTAATAAAGATTGTTCTCGAAACATTGTTATCATCCAGTTTACCAATGCTACTGTACCACTCATCGTGTGTGTGTGTATGGGTTATATCAGCTGAACTTATCTTCTATATTCCTTCCTTTTTTATACCTACATACATAGATCATGGAGGCAACCGTGGGCAATCAAGATGCACCGATTGATTTCTCGTGTGAATCGAATTTCTACACTGAAAAATACGAAATTAGTTGAGTATGTGCTGATATGTGAGAAGATAAAGTCGCGATTGTGTTGTCAATCAATTCGTTTTTTCTTTTGTTTTCCGCTAGCTGGCTGGTTGGTCGGTTGACCGACCAACCGACTGAATGATGAATGAATAACTTTCTTCTTCCTTTGTATTTTGTGTGTGTGTGTGTGTATAATTATCTGTGATGATTTGAAAAAAAGGGGAAAACTGTACACTCTTGGTTTTTTATTTTTTCTTCATATTCTTTTTTTTGTTGGTGGTATGTCTACCGCGGGCATCGCTTTCTTTTTTTATTGTCCTATTGCTTCTTTGTATGGTTTTAGCTAATTGAGTAATAATAATAGTAACAATAATAATATGCACCTGATGATGATGACCTCTTGTTAGTGATTTGTTTTGTCCATTCTGTCTGGTATTATATTCATTCATACGTTTTAAGCTGGTTAGATAAAAATATAAGAGCTGAATGAGGAGGAGGAGGAATGTTGTACAGCGTTTTGTCTTTGAATATATTGACAAATAAGACACACATGAATGAATAGTAATCAGGCTGTTATTATTATTATTATTAATCGTGAATAATATGTCTGTCTGTCTATCTGTTTTCAACATAGAACTTTGTACCAATGTGCACCAGTTCAAGTCGCCACACTCCCTCCATGTAGCACACAAAGCAAGAGAAGAAAGTAGAAGAAATGCATAATAGAGACAGTAAATAAAGAAGTAAGACCAAAAGAAAAGTAATATCGAAGAACAATATAGTTTTATTGGGTATTATAGGTCACAAGGAGTGGATGCATTTGCTCCATTGCGAACGATGACTTTGAGCCATATCACCGATTGTCTCCATCCTTCATTGGTTTTCACCGTCCCGAGGACTCCAGCCAGGAAGTCACCTTCCTGTGTGTGGCTTAAGCCAACTGTTGTGGATTTGATTGACTGATAAGGCCGTGTTTCGGTCTGACCATCCGTACTGGTTGTTTTCCAGCCTGACCGTATGTCAGCTAACATTGCCCGTCGGTCGAGAAAGGCGATGGCTAGGCATGCATGCATAACACATGTCCTAACTATCTCAGTCGATGTAGCTACACAACCTCATTGATTGGTTTCCCCTCCTTACTTAGCACTCGAGGGATGCCTAACCTCAATATTGCTCAACCTAGTACACCATCTAACACTGGAAATAGAACACAGGTAAATATGATCAAAGACAGCTAGTCTTCTCATGTCTTCCACTCTCAATGGCCATGTCTAACTCACAGCCATAAAGGTGGACGGAGTGGACTGCTGGGCAGTACATTTGCCCTTTGGTCGACAGCCAACCAGCCGGATATCACGTCTACGCCAGAGACGATGTAAACTGGCATATGCAAAACTAGCCCTCTATATCCGCACTGAGATTTCGTCAGAGATCAACCCGTTGGGGTTGATGCAACTTCCCCAAATAAGTGAAGTGGTCAACACGTTCTACCACTTCAGTCCTTATTTCTAAGCTAGAAGTTGGTATAGTCCAATCCTGTGATCTTAGTTAACAAGTCGATAATATATAAAAAAACACGAATATTCTTAATGACAACCATTCTAGAATATTCTATGTAAATAAACATATAGATATAATTGTAGAGTGAGAAGAGGAGGAAATTATCGAAAAAGATGTTCTTTGCTCAATTTTTTTCTATCTTCTAGATGTCTGGATGTATAAGGTCCATCCGGAAATAATATTGGTGTTATCAATAAAATACAATAAGATGTCTAATCAATTTTTACCCATGTATATAAACGAAGCAAGAAAGTTTTGTGAATGAGTACCTTGATATGATGATGACGATGAGCAGTGATAAATTGTGCTCGAAACGTTATCGTCATCAGTACATATTGCTTACTGCCTAACAACACTGTGTGATTTTATCAAAATAAAATTTTATCCATAACGGAAACATTTATTTCTCGATACGAATTTAAAACAAGCAACAAAGCAGGTTAATAAAGCAGGATTTCCAGTACTCCCAGGTTTTCCAATGGTTCTCTAACTAATGTCAGCTCATGATGAAATCCTGAAAGCAGGATTTAATGAATTCACCAAATTTCGGTAGAACTCGTCAGCCACTCAATACTCTACATACACGGATATATATTTTTGAAATTACATTGGGAGATATAAGAGTGATAAGCACAAATAAACTACATTGAATTAGTCATGCAGAAAGACAGGTGTGAATGTTTTCCAGGTCATGTTCAAACAGATAAGGGGAGAGAGAGTATGAGAGATCAAAATTAAGATAAATTGCATTACCTCTGTGTGCTATTTGGAACGTGGCAACTCGAACTGGTGCACTTCGGTGCCAAGTTCTATGTTGAATCCAGACAGACAGTAGAGAATATAACAAGAATTGCGAACAGAGTAATATTAATTATAATAGTTATAATAATAATAACAATAATAATAGTGTTGAAGTGAGCTAAGATAATCCTACTGATAAAGGATAGTTTTAAATGAATCAAGAATAATAATAGTAAGAGGTAGAATAATAGTAATAACACGTATAGAATCATAAGTAAAACGTATTACCATGGTACATTCAGAGTCACGACCATCCTCTTTTGTACACAGAGACCTGGTTTATAATCTCGAATTGCACAAGCCTCTGCAATCGCAAGCATCTTCTTGTTTCTTTATCTTCCGACAATAGTGAATGACTTGACAGCGTCGATCTCATGTCCATAGTCGTCCACAAGATGTTTTGTTATTGAGGATTTTGGCACTTTGCACTCATCTGTTTTCAACCATTTAGGCAAATACTCCATCATGTGAGTAGACAATCAGCTTTCTGTACGACCTATGCATATTTGCTTCCACAAACACACTTAAATCGATATACGCAGTTTGAAGTGTCGAAGATTGGCGACTGGTCTTCCCCAGATTGTTGAAGCACTCGCTTAGTAGTGTTAAGGAAAACAAGTTTTGCAGCATAAGTTCTCTTGATAGCTTTATTGAATCTTCGTTTGACTACTTCCTGTACATCATCTCCTTTGAACGGTAAACTGACATAGACAGGTTTCTTCGGAACTGTTTGGATAGTTTCGCAGGGGCTAATTTCTTTACAATATTTATCGTTGAACTTCTCAGGCTATACATTCTTAGATAAAATATCCTTCAGAGATTTTATTTCATGCTCAATAGAACTGTCAGAACAAATTTTCCGTGTTCTGTTGAACAGGGTTCTGACTAAGTTCTTTTTATAGTAGATTGGAATAAAGCTGTTGAAATGTGTGTGTACTGTCCTGTCCATGAAGACGTTCTAAATGTAGATCTTCCGTTTGTGCCATCATTCATCTTCGCTAGAAAAAAGTCTAGGAATTAAATAGTATTGTTTTCTCCATGTTCTTTTGTGAAATTGAGATTTGGATGGCATGAGTTGAATTTTATCAACATGTCTTCAGCTTTTGATCTGATTCCACAGACAACAAAAATGTCAACATATCTTAGATATACATCCGTTTCTTGTATATGTTGCTGCAAGGTACCAGCTTCTAGGCCTGACAAGAAAAAGTCTGCAAAAATTGGTCCCAAAAGGCTTCTCATTGTGACACCATCAACTTGATGGAATAGACGCCCGTCGAATTGGAATTGGACATTTTTAGTACATAAAAGTAACCATTTCTTCAATTCCGATGTTGGAATGGGTATGTCTTCAGCTGCTTTACACATATGAAGTCAATAGTCTCAACGACTGGCGGCACATTTGTGAAGAGGGAGGTAATATCGAAAGAGACCAGATGCTTATCAGACACATTGAAATCTTTAATTTTATCCATAATGGAATTATACTCTACCGCCAACAGTAGTGCCCAAGTATTATTATTATTTTATGAAAATTTGAAGGTGTGAATATAGATTACGAGGGGCTTGAAAACAAAATTATCCAGGATTAGAAAATAGTTTTTTTTTAACGACTAAAGGTGTGAATGCGATGAGCATGAGAACAACTTGAAAGAATAATATATTCCAAAAACTCAAAATTGGGAAAGAAGAGAAAAGAGGAAAACGAAGGGGATGAGAAAAACGAAACCCAAGCAAACTAACCGAACTAGATTCATAAGAAATGGAAAGGTTAAACCAAGCTCATCTTCAGTCATCTCGGTGATGAATACACACATGCACAGAATCTAGTCCAACTTAACAACTGATACTCCTCCTCACTATTACTTGGACACATTCTTAAGTCATGTCAGAAAAAATATACCCTGCTGGACGTTGTTCACATGCATTTTCCTGCAAAGTCTACGTCATTTTGTCATGCCAAATTGCCTCATTTTTTATGATTGGTCGACTCAAGGACATTCGTGCGTTCGCATGCCTTGGGACGCTATTGTTGAACTTTGCCTTTTCCACGATTAGAAATGGGATTTTCAAGTGTTGGTTTGTAGGGATTTGATTGGTTTCAGGATTTCATCATGAGCTGACATTAGTTAGAGGACCATTGGAAAACCTGGGAGTACTGGACAACTGTTTCGTCAGCCTAGTTTGGGACTCTTCAGCAGTTCGCACCCACCGGGATTCGAACCCACGAGCTCGCCTTGTAACCGGAAGGTCCTGGGTTCGAATCCCGGTGGGTGCGTACTGCTGAAGAGTCCCAAACTAGGCTGACGAAACAGCTGTCCAGTTCTCCCAGGTTTTCCAATGGTTCTCTAATTAATGTCAGCTCATGATGAAATCCAGAAATGGGGTTATTAAATATATTCAAAAAGGGAAGCAAATTGTCCTTGTTCCTTCAACAAGCACCTCTTCATTTATATTTTACAGAAAACATTAAAACACTGAAAATTGTTAACGTTTTATTTTATTATATTATTATCGACACGAAGATGACAACAGCCAATGGGACTGGTAAAACATATATACATACAAATAAACACACACTGACACGCAAACACATGAAAGAATAGCAGTCCTCGATGCCATCTCTTTGTCTCTGTTGATTCACCTGTCATTAGAAAAAAACAACAAAAAACACATCCATGTTACTAACTAATTTTTGTGTTTTTTTTCGCGATTGTGAAAAGTCAGTTAAACTATTCACTATTTTGTTGATTAAAACACAAATATGCTACATTATAGGCAACATGAGATGCTCTATACAAAATCTCAGTTTGGGTTAGGGTTGGGGTGTTACCAGGGGCAAAGGTAAACTTTAAGCACCTCTTACTACCAATCAGCGAACAACCTTCAACGGGCCAATCACTTGAAGGAGACATTCTTGTGTATGGTATGCATATATTTATGAAAAGATGCATAAAAACTGTAGAAAAGTATTACAGAGGATACCATCCTCTGATATGTGATAAAAATAGGTATCAGTTTTAGGTTAGAGTATCAACAGAGTATAATTCCATTGTGGGTGAAATTTATTCTGACAAAGTCTCATTGTGTGTGTGTGTGTGTGTTATAAAGTGATATTCCCTGAGCAATAAATCGTTCTCGAGACGTTTTCATCAGTAAACATTACTTTATAACACGCAGTGAGACTTTATGAAAATGATTTTACCCACAATGGAATTATACTCTACCACATTGCACAAGTGCAAAGCCGATTCTTATATCAACAGGATGATTTAACCGCGTGTAGTTATTTAGGTCTTCTAACCTTAATCTTTCCTGAACCTAATTCTAACGTGAAACTATCCCTAAAATAACTGTTATCTAACTCGCAAAAACACCCTAATGCCGCCTTTATTCGGTTAACATAACCCTAACTTGTTATTGGCTTAAAGGGTAAATTATTCCTTTCCAAACCTAAGCTGAAACTTACAAGATATCCCACTTGATAAAATGACACTTCGATGAGCATATTTTATAGATGATGACAGCATTATTTGACAGTAAGTGTTTCAAGGTCATTGATGCGGTCGCACTCCACTGGTAGTTAGTGGTGCATAAAGTATAACTTCGCCACTACAGGGTGACGCCGACAATTATACATCCCATCCAACAGTTGTATAATAATTCTGCATGCCAAGTAATCCCCACAACGGAAAACTCACGGAATCCTTCGAAGTAAAGACGGGAGTAAGACAAGGCTGGCTGCCTACTGTCGCCAGTGATTTTCCTGATTGAAGTAGATCGGATAATACGAAAAACAGCGGCCTGGGCAATGGGGAAACAGCCATAAAATGGACTCACACAAAAAACTTGGAGGATCTGGACTTCGTCGATGATATATGTCTGATTTACTACAAACTGGAAGATATTCAAGTGAAAAGCAACCACTTGGCAGAAGACGCATCCAGAGAAGATAGGACTTCAGATGAACATAGAGAAAACAGAGGTAGGTGATGAAGATTCCTGGCCAACACCAACAGAAACAACAACAACAGACAGCACTCAGCCAGAATAAATGGGAGGAACCTGAAAGAAACAACCTCCTTTACCCACTCACCTGGGAAGCATCGTTTCAACTACGGGCGGACGGAATTGACGAGGATATCAAAGCACGAGAATCTGGAAAGCAAGACAAGCTTTCATTTCTCACATCAATTCTGTGTGGAGGTCAACAGCACTCAGCACGAAAACGAATATAAGAACCGGATTTTCAGCTCCATTGTGAAGTCAGTGCTACTTGTTATATGGATCAGAGACTTGGCGCGTCATAAAGAGCACCTCAAACAAACTACAGACAATCATCAACAGCTACCTTCGCTCACTACTAATCAAGATAAGATGGCTGGCTAGAAAAGATCAGTAACAGCGATCTCTGGGAGCGAACCAACTCAGCAGGAACCGATTGTGCAAAAAATAAGCGTGAAGAAATGGAGATGGAGTGGCCATACTCTGAGGAAACAAACTATCTAGTGACATCACTAGACAAGCCACTGCTCGAGTGGAACCCGAAAGGGAAGTGGCGAGTTGGTGGTCAGTGTGAGGGTGACTTGGAGGAGGTCATGTGCGGAGGAGATGAAAGCATGTGGACAGACTTGGAGGCAGGTGAAAATTCTAGCAGAGAACCGAACGCACAATGGAGACGTGCAGGTGAAGCCCTATGTTCCTCTAGGAATTAAAGGAAATAATAATAATAATAAAAGTTTTACCTGGCCACTTTCCCAAAATCAAACTTGTGAGTCAGTATAATATGACCTACAAAAATTAAAATAATATTAATAGTAAACAAACAAGCAGAGACATACATTTCATACGTCTACATACATTTCTTCTTCCGTTGTTATTCCATAAAGATCAGCCTGTAGTTGAAGTAATTTTTTATATAATAATGGCCAAAATCCAGGATGACTTGCATTGTGTATTGATTGGTTGAGATTGCCTTCCTGTGTAGCAGATTCACTCTTTAATTTTGAGGTAATATTGTCTTTAGGTGGAAGAATGGATTGCTGATAGGAACTATGATTATTATTATTATTATTGCTAGTGTTGCTAGAGTTGTTTAAACCAATAATTGATTTTCCTGAACATGGTCGACTTGAACGCGAATCAGTCATTCTTTTAGGCTATTAAAAAAAATAACATTCAGTAGAAAAATGTTATACACTAGAACTAAGTTGATATTAACAAATAGTATTGAGGAATCAAGGCAGTCACCAGTTATATATATATACATATATATGATTTTATTCCTGTGCGTCGCCAGTGGAATATAAGGCTTCAAGCTTGAGCTTTGAAGGTTTCGTAGCACTGGTGTTTCATTTCAAAAGAATGAGGTCGCTAGCTTCACACGTCTGAATCACCAATGCATATATATTATTACATTTATTATTATTCTCTTGGGTTCCAAGTGGAACATGTGGCTTCAACAACACATCTCCACTCTGTTCTATTTTCTACCATCCTCTTCAGTTGGTTGCACGATTGTCCATAATCTTCCATCTCCTTCTGCTAAAATGATCTCCTTCATATCACCCTCGCACTGACGACTCACTCGTCACCATCCATCGGGATTCCACTCGAGCAATGGCTTGCAATGAGCGTGATGTCATTCGACAGTCTGCTCAACATATGCACATTCAATTTATCTCCATTTTCTCCTACATATTTGTTGAACAATCGGCTCTTTCTTGTTGGTTTGTTGCCAGCCAGCCAGCCGGCCATTTGATGTTCAGTATGAAGCCGGTGAAGTAGTGTTCAGCTGTTGATACAAGTCTGTAACTTGTTGGAAATGCTTTTCCTAACTCGTGGTGCAAGTTTCTGACCCATATAGAAGCAGTGACTGACTGACTGACTTTACATTTGTGTTGAACACAATCAGAATATTATACTTTATGCTGCTTAGTGCAGATTTCCAAACTGCTTTCAGGTTAATGAAGGCGTATCTTACCTTTCCGATTCTGGCTGGCCTGCTTTGACGTCTTCATCCTTTTCGCCAGCTGTAGTTGAAACTATGCCTCCTAGATAAAGTGAAGGAGGTAACCTCTGTTAAATCTCTACCGTTGGTGGTGATTGGTGCTGGTTGTTGTTGTTGTTGTTGGTCTCCGGGTATCTTCATCTTCATCGCCTCTGTCTTCTCTAGATTCACTTGAAGTCCTATTTTCGCTGCCTACTTCTCCTCTTCAGACAGTCTGTCTTCCAATTTGTGTGACATTAAACATTGTCTGCGAAATTCCTGATATTCTAGGGTCTTCTTATCAGTCGTCCAGCATACTCCTGTTTTCAGAGACGCTGTGCACAGTCTGATGCATAATTTTGGTCCACCATAATTGGGAATATCATCGTTGATAATAGGCAGCCAGCCAGCCAGCTTGTTTTACTTCCTGTATTCACTTCAAACGCCTAGCTGAGTTTTCCATTGTGGATCACCTGACATGTGGCGTTGAGTATATATATATCACTTCAATTTCCAAATAACGAATTTTAAATGTGAACGAACTACACCCTATTGCAGAAGAAGATTTCTAGCTGAGGTGGATGTTTTCTATGTGCTAGTGTCGTCTAAATTGCATGACTTATTCTCGAAGCTCTCATTGTCCGTCTTGACAGCGTCTACAATGCTTCAGTTTGAAGTCATTACTTCTGCATTCTCCAAGAATCATATAGCTCTCTCTCTCTCTCTCTCTTAATTATCTCAAGTGTGGGTAGTTTCCTTCAAAGCTTTTATTGGGGTTAATTTGTATCCGGATTTGATTTTTTCATTGATATAGAACTTGAAGTTTTGCTATTTCCTCTCATGTGACTTGTTATTTATTCTCTGAATAAACTTGATTTATCTTAATATGTCTGTTGAGTAAAAACTGATCCAAGTACCAGGCTTCTTAGTTTTGTCTGATAGTTTCAGTATTCCCATTCTTTATTTCTCCCCAGTTACATTGTTGTCCGTGTTTATCCACTTGTGTTTTGCCGGTTCACTTATGTTCTTGGATCATTTATTATTATTATTATTTCTTTTAATTCCTAGAGGAACATAGGGCTTCAGCCGCGCGCCTCAATTGCGTTCGCTTCTCTGCTAGAGTTTTCATATGGCTCCAAGTCTGCCCACATGCTTTCATCTTTTCTTCACATCACTTCCTCCAAGTCCCCCTAGCATTGACGACCAACTTACCGCTTCCCATTCGGCTGGGTTCCACTCGAGCAGTGGCTTGTCTAGTGATGTCACCAGATAGTTTGTTTCCTCAGAATATTGCCACCAATCCACCTCCATTGGTTCCTGCCTATTTGTTGCACAATTGGTTCCTGATTGGTTGGTTCGCTCATTGCCAGAGATACTTGTTGCTGATCTTTTCTAGCCAGCCATCTTATCTTGATTAGTAGTGAGCGAAGGTAGCTGTTGATGAAGGTCTGTAATTTGCTTGAGATGCTCTTTATGACGCGCCAAGTCTCTGATCCGTATAGTGAGTAGCACTGACTTCACATTGGAGTTGAAAATCCGGATCTTATTTATGATGCTGATTTGTGCTGTTGACCTCCACACAGAATTGATGTGAGAAATGAAAGCTTGTCTTGCTTTCCAGATTCTCGTGCTTTGATATCCTCGTCAATTCCGTCCGCCCGTAGTTGAAACGATGCTTCCCAGGTGAGTGGGTAAAGGAGGTTGTTTCTTTCAGGTTCCTCCCATTTATTCTGGCTGAGTGCTGTCTGTTGTTGTTGTTTCTGTTGGTGTTGGCCAGGAATCTTCATCACCTACCTCTGTTTTCTCTATGTTCATCTGAAGTCCTATCTTCTCTGGATGCGTCTTCTGCCAAGTGGTTGCTTTTCACTTGAATATCTTCCAGTTTGTAGTAAATCAGACATATATCATCGACGAAGTCCAGATCCTCCAAGTTTTTTGTGTGAGTCCATTTTATGGCTGCTTCCCTATTGCCCAGCCCGCTGTTTTTCGCATTATCCAATCTACTTCAATCAGGAAAATCACTGGCGACAGTAGGCAGCCAGCCTTGTCTTACTCCCGTCTTTACTTCGAAGGATTCCGTGAGTTTTCCGTTGTGGGGATTACTTGGCATGCAGAATTATTATACAACTGTTGGATGGGATGTATAATTGTCGGCGGCACCCCTTGGTAGTAGCAAATTAGTTGCAAATCTCTTCTCGATCGACGTTGTCACTCTTTTGTGCCTTGAGTTTCTGAGTGGAAAATTGGGCTTCAAGTCCTGAATTTTCAATAACAGTGGTGTTATTTTTTCTCTTTAAGTCGGGGGGGCTGGTCACACCCTCCTTCTTTACCTGGCTTACTATCGACTAAGCAGGGTTCAGGAGTGCGTTGACCGGGGGGGGGCAAACATGGACTACATATGTAACGACAGAAGACAAGGATCAGGCAACCAATCGTTTATTGAGAAAGTCAACAGATATGATTTTCATGTAGATTATAATTCGTTATTTTCGCAGAGAAGCGAGTCTTCTGATTGGTTGTTTTCATGCTGAAGGTTATTCTGTACTGCTTGTGACCGTTTCATAGAAAGTCAATCCATTTATCTGCGAATCGTATTTGCACATGTTAAGTTTGCTGTGATTGGTTGGTGAGTTCCTCAAGGTTAAGCTTTCTTATTGTTTTTTCTCATGGCCCGATTCAGAAGTCTAGTTTGGCCAGTATGAAGTAATGCTTTTCACAATTAATACCATTCATTTTGTAAATAGTATTGATCAGTTATTGATTTGCTATTCGGTCTTTTGTTCTGTACAGTAGTCAATGAACTGATTATTTTGGTTTGTCTGTGAACTCAATTTTAACTTGAGTAAATGTTTTAGAAATAATTAAATATTGTAGTTTTTTTCTCTAACTTGGATGGTATAAGTGTGACGCGTCAACCAACCAACCAACTGAAAATCATTTACTGACTGCCAAGAGGATAGCTGTCTTGACAGTAGATAAAATCACCGCAAAACTATTGCGAACATATGTGTAAAAATCATATTTTTAAAATCTCAGCGAAATTGCAATGAGTAATTCTAAAGTTTTCTGCATGCGGCAAACTGGTGCCCCGAACTTCTTCATCAGGGAAATTAATCGAAATTAAAATAACAAAGGTTTATATTTTCAATAGTTGGTCTGTAAGGATTAGATTTGTTTTGACGAGTTGATCACGGATTAATATCAGTTAGAGAACCATTGAAAACCAGCCACACGGAGTACTGAACAGCTGTCTTGTCAGCCAAGTTCGGGAATCATCGGTAGTACGCACCCACCACAGGGTTCTAACCCAGGACCTTCCGTGACCAACTCGTTAAAACAAATCTAATCCTTACAAAGCAACTCTTGAAAATTAATCTGATGCTTGCCAGTAACTTGCTACAGGATGGAGTCTCCTGGAGTTCTGTGGAGAAGTCGTTACCATTGACGTCCAATCCAGTCAAGCGTGTGAGAATGGATGTCTCAGCGATGACATTGGTCGGTGGTCCTGTTAAATCACGAATTGGCAGAAGTTAGAATTCATGGGCAGGCCATTAAATCGGGTCCCAGTGAGTGGCTGAAGGGTATACAAGCTTGCCTTGTAACCAAAATGTCCTGGTTGGAACCCTGGTGCATACTGCCGATGACTCCTAAACTAGGCTGATGAGACAGCTATCCAGTACTCCATGCTGGTTTTCAATGGTTCTCTAACTGATATCAATCCGTGGTCAACTCGTCAAAAGGTTTATATATAAAAAAGACATCTCTTGTTTTTAAAATCTTTGTTCAATCACATGAGTCATGAAACAGGTATCAAAATTGTATGAACTGTGATCAAAATTAGACCGAAAACTTTCAAATATTAGCATACTTTAGTCAAACACTGTAAACAGAATACTGTACTTTTTTATCAGATTTTAGTGATGATTACGTTCGAACTGCTTTAAGACATTGTGTTTATGTTCCTTTGACTAGTGCCAGTCGCGCTATTATGATAAGTTGGCATAAGATGGAATTCATGAACTGGCCATTGGATTGAGTCCAAATGGCTTAATGGCGACAAGGTCAGTAGCCTTGTAACCGGAAGGTCCTGAGTTCGAACCCTGTCGGTGGATGCGTAGTGGTGAAGAGCCTGAAACCATGACAAAGCTTCTGGTGACAGCAGGCTGCTAGCCAAATTGGTAGACATTAATTTACGTCAATGTTTATGTTCAAAATATTTCAGTCCTGATTTTCCATTGGTTCTTTAATTGATGTCAGCTGATGATGAAATCCTATAACCAATCGAATCAAATTTCAGCAAACCTTCTGGTTGCAAGGCCAGCTCGTATACCATTAAGCCACTGGGTCCCGATCCAGTCCTCGACCAGTAAGATGCAGCTGGTCAGGTCTGAGGACAAATACTCACCGAAGACATTGGCTAAGGGTCGTGAATTGGCAGAAGTTGGAATTCATGGGTTGGCCATTGGATCTATTATTATTGTGATGAGAGCAGGCCGTGAGAAAATATGAGCAAGGCTGATTCAACAACCAATCACAGCAAAGTTAACGTGGCAAAATATGATTCGCAGATAGAGAACTCTATTTGTCGAGGAATCCCGAAACAACCAATCAGAAGCCTGCGTTTGTCTGCCTAACTTCTGATAAACAACCAATCAGATAACTGCGCTTGTCTACTTGCATAAGCTATAATAATGTATGTGAAATATGTATAAATACGTGTTGATTTTCATAATAAAACGATCTGTTGCCTGGCCCTTGTCTTCTGTTGTTACATTATTATGTTATTATCTAGTTGACTTAAAATATGCAGATGATATAGTCCTGCCTCCTAGGTGAGGACGCTGAAAAAAATACAGCAGAGTCTTTTGAACACCTTAAGCAGCGGCAATCTCCGCAAGTTTGGCATGCAATTCGCCACCACCAAATGTAAGATGATGCTACAGAAATGGACTACATTGACTGGTTGATCGATGGCAAAATCTCAGCATGGATACAGAAGCCTCGGTTCGAATATGCCAGTTTATGCTATGTACTGCTGAAGCCTTATGTTCTAATCTAAACCCAAGGGAATAACAATAATAATAATAAAAAATAATAATAATAATACACAATGAAAAATTTCTGTCTAACTCACAGTCAGTGATTCTTTTTTCGGCAGTTTTTGTTTTGAATGATTCATATTCGGTGTGCTGAATAAATAGAAAAAATTGGTATAGAGTATATATGTGTGAATAGAAATTATAAGATTTGATAGTGTGAAATATTCCAATATTATAAATTAAAAGTCAATCTGAACGAAGAATATTCTTTTCAATAACTTTCAATAATAAGAACCATATTTATAAAGCTACAGACCAAAGCTCAGTATACACACACTTCCTTAGCTTCGTACCAATGAAATACAAACGTAACCTGATCAGGTGCTTAGCATTTAGAGCGAGGTCGATTTGTTCCGAAGACTGCGTAGAGGAAGAAATCCAGGTCATCCGAGACATTCTAAACGAGAACGGATATCCAGAGAAGTTCATTAAAGCCAGCATAGGTTAGAATAGTCGCAAATATGAACTGAAAACGGTGGAGAAAAAGCCTCCGTTTTTCTGTCTCCAATTCAAGGGAGATACTCCTGCAGAGATTCTATCGAAAAGTTTAACTAGGGCGATCAAGAAAACTTTTTACTCTGCACGTCTGTGTCTATCCTTCACTAGCCGTCCAGTGTTCACCCAGCAACTCAAAGATGTCTTACCTAACCTTAGCTATTCTTCGTGCATATAACATTTCAACTGTTGCTGTGGTTCAAGTTATATAAGGAGGAACGATTGGGGAGGTTCGTCTACGGGTTCGAGAACATTTACTAGCTTGCTTCAGCAGGCGGGAAATTAAGTGTTTTGTATTCAAAAAGAACACGTCCAGACGCTGTTTCTACCGTGGCCAAACTTGGACTGATGATTCTTCTTCTCACCAAGAGTGCTCCTTCCCCTTAACCCTCTGGCTTTTTTCTTTGCTTATTATTACAAATATTATTATTACAATTATTATTATTATTCGTCATAATTTACGCCCTTTATGCAAACATTCCCTCAATACTATCGAATTTTCATTTATACGGACTTATTATTAGTGATATTATCTGTTTTCTCAATATATGCCTCCACCTGTTTCTTCATTTCACATATTCGTTATTTCATTATGAACCTCTCATTGCAGTCTTACTACCTCCTGTTTAACACAGACCACTTTGTACTAGCCATTCACTCACCTGACACCTTTTATAACTTTGAACTGACTTGTCAATTTTCCTACCCCACACTCTACAAATCTATTTCGACTAATCACCACCATTGTCTCCCATTTTACAAATATTTTGGTAATCGATTTCGGCCAACTAGCACGTTTGTCACACAAATACGACTATTTATTTTAACACCCTGTGATAACTTATCTCTTATTCTACGTTAAAAATGTATCCGCCTCATAACTAACTGCCCATGATTGTAACGACAACAAATATTATATTTTATAATTGTAAGAACCTGAAGAAGAGAAATTATTGAAAAGAATATTCTTCGTTCAGATTGACTTTTAATAGAAAATTAGGCAGAAAAAAGAAGCATATATGACAATGTGTAATGGCTACCTTGTTAAGCTATCAAAGAAGGGTGACTTCGGCCTTTGCAAAAACTGGCGCGGAATAATGCTCTTATCCATGCCATATAAAATACTGAGTCGCATCATCCTGGAGAGATTAAACGAAGCACTGGAGACAGAAATCCTTACACAAGAAACAAGCTGGAATCAGGATTGAAAGGCCAGTCAAGTCATCTGTGGGTCAAATTGCATCTATACGCATCGTCATCATTATCATCGAACAAACCACAGAATGGTAGTGAAATCTCAACCTCACTTTCATCATCAATTCTGGAAAGGCTTTCGTCAGCGCTGATAGTGAAGTAATCTGGAAACTACTTCAACACTATAGAGTGGCTAAACCCTTTATCATTATAATTCAGCAGCTATATGACAATAGTAGGTGTCTAGTTATCCACAACGGAAAGGTAAGTGTGTGAAACCTTCAAAAATTAACCACATAGCCTGTCTAGTGATCATGTATACTCCTTTCACTAGCCTTCTTAAATATTGTGCGTTTAGAGCATGAACAGTTGTCTCTATCAGGAGATTACTCTTCTTCTTCTTCAGGCTCTACAATAGCCATTCAGTCAGCCAGCCAGTAAAGGCAATTTAGAATCATGTCAGAAATGTGTATTATGGAACAAGTATAAGTAAGATGGATGGGATGGAACAATAGTCAGTTAGTTTTTGAATATGATGCATGGCCGATGAGAAATGATGCGTGGAAATGAGAAGTAATCATTCAGTGGTGTGTGAGAGGGACAATATGAATACTACAGAAAAATAAACCAATGAAGGGGGTGGACTAGACATAAGTTCAAGGGTGAAAGTAACAACAATAATAAAGATGATGGATGATGTGGTGTAAACGATTATCAAATATCAAATAATAATGAATTTAGTGAGTTGAAATGAACAGGATTTTTTAAATATGAAAAAAAATTAGAAAAAAGCATTTTACTGTTATTATTGTTCCCTTCGGTTCCTAGTGGAACATACGGCTTCAACTGCGCGTCTCCATTTGTTTCTGTCTTCCTTCCGCTGTACTTTTCACCTGAATCCATGTTATCCATACTCTTTCAACTCTCTTCACACGATCTCCTCCATGTCACCCTTGCACTGACGACCCACTCGCCGCTTCCCTCTCGGCCTGGTTCCACTCGAGCAATGGCCTGACGCGCGCGCGATGTCACCCATCGGCAGCCTCCTCAGCGAGTGTCCAATCCATCTCCACTTTCTCCTGCATAATATTTGTTGGTTGGCGATTGGTTCTTGTTTTGTTTGCTTGTTCCCATAGTTTCTTGTTGATGATTCTTTCCGACCCGGCCATCTGATCTTCAGTATAGATCCAGTGAAGACAGTTATTGGTTGATAAAGGTTTGCAACAGACTGTTGAAAATATTCTTTGTGACCCCCGGCCAAGTTTTGATCCGTATGGAAGAGCTGACTGACTTGATGTTGTTTGTATTGAAAATCCGACCGAATTTTGTTGTTGATGCTGGCTGAGTGACGAAGATTTCCAGATTAGATTGGTTTCAGGTTGATGAATGTGTGTGTTTCTCGCCTTCCTGATTCTCACTCGGTTCGACATCCTCGTCCGTTCCTATTACAGTTGAGACTATGCTGATTCTTCGGCCAGTTTGTCGGTTTTCGCTTGTAAGTCTTCGATTTTGCAGAAAAAATGCAGAAAAAAAGCATAAATAATAATAATAATTTTTCCTTCACCTTCCCAGTGGAACATAGGGCTTCAAGCTAGTGGCTTGAAGTTTCTGTAGCAGTGCTTATTTTTACAGGATGGGGTTGCTAGCCTCATGCCAAACCTTTCCTCTTTACCAGCATTATTTCTGGATGAGCGAGGTAAAGGAGTGCGTCGGCCGGGATTTGAACCCAGGACCATATGCATGGCTGGCGAGCGTCCTAACCACTGTGCCACCGACGCACAGGAAAAAAGCATAACTTGAATCTTATTGACGATGCCATCTTTGATAATTTATCCTCGATTTGTTGTGTGTGAGTCTTGGTTTAATTGACAAGCTGCAGGAAATGTTCTCCCTACTGCTCTATTAAGTCAACATTTCAGAATATCAGTGGCAATCTCCCCTTCGTAATTTAACTGCTTGCTTTATTTACGCGGTATATCCATCGTTACCCTAATCTCTAGGCATCGATGCAGACTTTTTCTTCAAAAGTTCTCTGGATATCCATTTTCTTGTAATGTTAATTTCCATTTTACACATTTCTTCCTCAACGCATTTCTCTAATTATACGCTTCTTACTGTATGTCCATATCTATGTGCATGTACTCTTTCACTTGCTCCTGTGTAGCTGATTATATTGGACGTTGTAAGCGTACTCTTCGAAAACGTGTAGCTGAACACTATCCGGTTTGGTTAATGAAAGGTGAACGTAGAACCGCAAAGTCGTCTATTTGTGATCACCTGTTAGAGTCTGGTCATTCACCCAACCACACGGGATTCATCCTTCAAGGTTACCTACATGGCAAAATCGAATTGCTCCAAAAGTTGACGTTTTCTTCACTTATGCATAGCTAGCCGAAGCTTTAGCTATACATGAACAGAAAGCTAAATTATGTGTGTGTTCAAAACTTTTTGTCAAACCCCTTTCTTTACTTTGGTCATAGTAATCTTCTTTCTAGTTTTTATTTTATTTTACCACTTGAATTCATTCCCTTGTTCACTTCACATCTTTATTCTTATCGTAATTGTAATCCTAATTTCTAAAATTTTTAGACAACGCCTGACACTTTTTTTAAAATATTTTTGGTATCAATTCACTTATAAAAGAATCTTGAATAATTTTGTAATCCATCCACTTCAACTCTAACCCTTATAACATTTTAATTATCGTTATTCTTATCACTTATATATATGTATATTGACTGAGCAATTATTTAGTGCCACTTAATAACCTTTTTCTGTAATATAAATACGACTGTACAGCTTGAAAATGAAGTCGTTGAAAAGGAATTCCTTCGCTTACCAAAAACTGTGTTTTTACTTATGAATTAACGGGTATTTTTCGTGATTTATTCTATGAAGAAAATAAAAGATTCAGCGAAGAAAATGTTTTTTAGCGATGAAATCATCTTCAGAGGCTGTACAGTCGTATTTATACTTAGAAAAAATATGTATGTATAGTGGTCTATTACTGAGTAATAGGGGGTGATATAATTGATATGATTACTCAGAAGTGGCTTTAGAAGTGAAAATTAAAAGTTGTAAATTACATGGTACTCAACGATGGCACAAAGATACAAATTTGATAAGGTTAAAATTGCTCTTGAGTGAGAAGAAAGGTGGTAGTTGAGTGTCAATTTAACAAGTGTGAAGAGGGTGTGATAATGTACAAAAGGAGAATATGAGATTGATAATAGTGAATTAATTATTAAAGCAAAAGTAAACTAAAAGTAAAATTAAAAACAAAAGAAAAAATCAAAAATGTTTTACAGGGAACGATTAGTGAAGAGGTTAAGAACAAGGTAGAATAAGAGACTGGACAAACTTTTTCTGTATACAGAGTTCAGGGTTGTATTGGTGAATTGCCAGCGCCTCCGCCATACACAAAAGCCGAAACCTGACGCCATTTGTACCATTTGGCTTCACTTTGTAGATAATCTTGAAAGTCGACTGTGGTAGAGCTGCGTGGCCTGAGTTCACCAAGTGCTCGAGAATTGAGCTACTAATTGTCTTGCATTGCCCCTTCACTAACGATACCGGATAATGTTCAGACATGCGTTTGGAAAGCGTGTGCTTTGTTCGGGCGGCCAATATAACTAGCTCCACACGAGCAGGTGAATTTATGAACACACATTGAGGTGGCCTGTCCAAAGCGGCAGTTTATCCTTCACACATCCATTGATCATTTGTCGGCTGTAGAAATTCATACGTAGCTCAGCCATAAAGAAGGCTCTCCTCAGTGATCTGCATAAGCGATTTTTCAGGATCTCAGCTGCGGTATCACCTTTAAATTCAACATTCATAAAGAGCAGTTTCTTCGGCACCGTCTGGATTCCTTCAGGCTTTTCTCTTAACTTCATGTTTTTCTCGATAAATCTTGGAGGATATCCATTCTCTATGAGAACTTGTCTTAGTCGCTCCAGTTCCCAATCGGTTGTATCACTAGAACATATCCTCGTTATTCTTGAGGATAAGGAGTGGATCAGATTTCTCTTTCTTCTCAAAGGGACCCAGCTTTGGGAATTTGTGTACTGACCATTCCATGGTGGTTTCCTGTAGATAGATCTTTGAAGAGAACCATCAGATCTCCTCTTTAGAAAAGCATCCAAAAGATGGAACTGTGAGTTAATCTCTGATTCCGACGTGAACTTGATGGTATGATGGCATCTGTTGAACTCCTTCGTTATCACCTCGATGTCGGTATTGTCGCCACATATGATGAAAATGTCATCCATGTATCTCTCGTACAGATGGAAACTGTCGATAGTAGGTCGTAAAATACTATTCTCCAAACTAGCCAAGATCGGGACACATACGTCTACATTATTATCCTCAATAAATTTGCATATAAAGCAGATAGTTTCAGTGAGGGGAACGTTGGTGAAAAGCGGATTAACATCCATAGATATCATTTACTTCCCGGATACATTAAGCATCACTTAGTGAATCGACGAATTCAAACGAATCATTCTATAATTGAGATACGCAACTTAAGTTTCTTTTGTATTGAGTTGGTGTGTGAAGCTGCGAAAATGTTTTAATTCCATCCAAAACAACAACAACAAAGGACAATAAAGATTACAAGCAACAGAAAAAGAAGAGAAGAGAAATCAGCGAAATTACTCACCTGATATCCAAATTTGAAAATTTTATCGAAAGAATATTACGTGATCCAACTGGTACAGAAGTATTCACCCACATATGACGATTAGCAGTGTTGATCGATACCGACGACTTTTTATTCTTGGCATCTGAGGAGATATTACCTTGCGTGTGTGAATTATTTGTTTCTGAAGTGTATAACTGTGTAAGGTCGGAATATTCAGGAGGAGGAGAAGTTTTATTCTGTGATTCCTGAAAATGAATATTAATCAGTACGAGATTATTTATTGGATGAAACAAGGTTGTGTGACACTCATAGAACAGCTAGTAAATCCTTACGCCCCTCCTACCGCTTTTCATTATTTAATGTGAACTGTAATTGTAACACAACGTAACGCACTGGTGATTCAGTATTACGATGCTGTCTAACCAACCACCAAATCAACCAAGTTGTCCTGTTTTGATCTCCCTACCGACACGCTCTTAGTAGTGGCTTACGGTGAGTTGTCATCTGAAGTGGTGACGAATAGTGGTGTCCGTCAGGGATGCCCATTATCCCAATTTCTATCCAATTTTATCATAGATGTACTAATGGATTTAACCCTAACTCACTTCAGAACTCAGGGATTGAGTTATTACCAGACTTAGAATATGCACATGATATATTCTGCTCTTAGGTGAAGACGCTGAAAAAATGCAGAGTCTTCTGAACACCTTGAGCTGCAATCTACGAATGTTTGGCATGCGATTCGCACCCGCCAAATGCAAGATGATGTTGCAGGACTGGACTACATGACCTCCAGTTTAGAAATAGGGAGTGAAGTGGTTGTGGAGCGTGTTGACCACTTCACTTATTTGGGAAGTTGCATCAACCCCAACGGGATGATCTCTGACGAAATCTCAGTACGCATACAGAGTTTCGGGTATGCCAGTTTACACTGTCTCTGGAGTAGACGTGATATCCGGCTAGCTGCCTGTCGACCAATGGGCAGCTGTACTGCCCATCAGTCTGCTCCGTCCTCCTTTATGGCTGTGACATCTGGTCATTGAGAGTGAAAGACATGAAAGGTTGGCTTCCTAACTGTCTTCGATGATAGGTGCCTGCATTCCATCTCCCGTGTTAGGTGTTGGTGTAATAGGGTGAGCAATTTTGAGGCTAGGCATCGGTCGAGTGACAGGTCGGTAGGAGGGGAAATCAATCGACGAGGCTGTGAAGTTACACCGATTGAGATGGTTAAGACATGTGGTACGTATGCCTGGTCATCGTCTTCCTCGACGGGCAATGTTAGCTGACATAAGGTCAGGCTGGAAAAGAGCTATCGGTGGTCAAACCAAGATATGGAGCCAGTCAGTGAACTCCACAACAGTTAGTTTAAGCGAGCCAGTCACGTAGGAAAGTGTCGACTTCCTGACTCATTGGGGTCCCCGAGACGGTAAAAACCTATGCTTGGAAACAATTTGTGATATGGCTCAAAATCGTTCTCAGTGGCTGGCGGAGATACATCCACACCTTGTGACTCATGATTTCTAATGAAACTACATTGTTCTTCGTTATTACTATTCCTTTGTCTCACAGCTCTGTATACTGTCTCTGTTATGCATTTCTTCTACTTTCTTCTCTTGCTTTGTGTGCTACAAGAAGGGAGTGTGGCGACTTGAACTGGTGCACATTGGTGTAAAGTTCTATGTCGAAAACAAACAGACAGACTCTTAGTAGTAATATTGAAAGAGAGAGAGGGGATGTCGGGTACAGGGCTCCCAGCCACATCTCGTGAAAAAAAAACACCACTACTTCTGAAATTTTAAACCTTAAAGTTGTATGTTCTTCTCTGAACATAGGGAATGAAAAAAACGATTATGGCAACCATATTTATGTCACTACCACATATTTACGACACTCATAGAATGGTAGGTAAGTGCCTTTTAGGGAATGTGGTTGTAACACAACGCGATCGGTCATTGCTCCAATGGTAGGATACATATCTATAAGTTCAGAGATCCTGTTTTGATGATCGTCTGAAATCCATCCGCTGTAGTAAGCGCGGAAGTTTAGCGACTTCCCCATCGACTTCATAAAACCAACACCGTCACTGCATCTTTGCAGTATGAAGCCTTACGTTCCTGTCGGAAGGGAAAGAATTGAGAAATTGGTGCAAAACTCACACGTTAATATGATAACTATTAAAGACCAGTCATCCACATAGAGATTATCTGAAATAGTTGTCAGAGTTTTGTCCATATGAAAACTTTATCGCCGGGTGCTGACGAATGTTTAACAACTCAAGATGCCCAATTTTTAGAATCGAGTTTTCTAAACTGCCCACCTCCCTTCTTAGAAGAGCAAAGACAGAATTACTGGCATGTTACTCATCTTCAAGAAATACCATACTTCTTTGGACACTAGTTACTAACCAGTGTTGTGTCATTTGTTTGGTAATGTAGACTGAATTCTATCAGTCAAATTTGCAGTGTGGCTACCATGCCACTAGATAACTCGCCATCACGGTGGACTGTGTAGTGCTGGTATTAGTTAGTTGAAGGCAATCGGCAGGAATCCTTGCCTTACTTGGGTTTCATGCTAGTTAGCACTCATCAGCCACCATTTAGTGCTGCAGTCAGAGACGTTGAAGCTGAGATTTCGGGACTCGCGATTGACCTCCTGTAGGACTGTAGAAATGTGCTGACAAGTGCCAGCTAGCACAAAATCTAGGTCAGCTAGGGCTTCCTGCCGATGGCCTCCAACCATCTAATGAACCTCCTAACAATCAACAGACCTTCAACACAGTTTACATGGCTTACCCTCTATTACAGTAACTGCCTTTAGTGTAGTAGCCACCTTTGTCACATGGTAGGACCTGAAGGAACACTCCATTAAGTCAGCGCATTTGCTGAGACATTTCAGTATACAAGCCCAATCGCTAATATCATCAGAGTAGCGGCTGTCGGTGGAGATTTCCAACTACAGATTTTTAATTCTCTTAACTCTTTCCACTACACACCAGTTGACCTGGAATAATCGGCCATAGCATTTAGCTTATCCGTTTCATTTTAAGCTGATGAAATTAAAATTTTTTTTAATTACAACAAGCTACTGATTAATCAATATGAGTAGTTAGATACCACTCACATCCATCAGTTGAGGTCGTTATTAGCTGATTCTCAGTTGATTAGTTTATCATAATTTGATTTGAAATGATTTTACGACGCTTGCTAGTAACCATCTACAGGAAGAAATTGCCTAGAGTCCTAGTGAAAGTCGTCACCAGTGGGGTCCACCATTCAGTCGGAAGCGAGGACAAATACTTGTGTCGCTAAAATCACGAATTCGTAGAATTCAGAATTTTATGCGTTGACCATTCATTGAATTGGGCCTCAGTAGGTGAGTGGTCTACGAGCTTGACTTCTAACGGAAATTTTCTGGGTTCGAAACCCATTGTGGGGTGCATATTGCCAAAGAGACCCATACTTGGACAAAAAGCAGTTGACTGCCCAGTACTCTGGTACTGGTTTTCAACACTTTTCTAACTGATACCAATCCAAAATGATTCTTTATTTATCGAATTATCATACCATACACGTGCAATCAAAATGACGCAACACCTATCCCAAAAATTGCAATAAAAATAAAGTAGGAGGGAAGTAAAGGCTATATAAAACAAGTTGTGAAGTTGTGTGTGTGTGGATGCATTGATATGATTATCAGCAGCAATAAATTATGCTCGAAATCACCTTGTCATCCAGTTGTTAATACGGCGTTTACATCACTGTGTGATATTTAAAATACACTTACTAATTATAGAATTTTATAAGGTGTGAGTTCCAGCTAGCACGAAACTTCGGTGCAGCCGATTGACTTCAACCATCTTGTGTACCGTAAAATCAATGTACACCATGATGGCGAGCTACCTAGCTAGCATTGTGGCCACATTGCCAACCTGAGTGATAGAATTCAATCTGCGTTAAACAAAGGAATAGACACATCACACTAGTTAATAGTGCTTAATCAAAATATCCTATCAATCAAACAAAACAGATGGAATGAACAGAAAATTGTTTCCTTAACTCTTCGAAGAAATATATTCCAAGACATTAAGGCTTAAACAGGAATTTGCGACTCTTTGAAACTTCAAAAATATTCTCCAATCCATAATGCTGATTGACTGAGTATCAATGCAGAAGTTCAACAATTCAAGGTAAATGCACATAGATGTGGACTTATAAACGGTAATCTATCCTTGACGCATTGTCTAATCATTTTTTTGGCTGATAAAAACTAGTTGCTGCAAGTCAGTTGCAGGAAAAGTGCGTTTAATACATTTTTAATCAATTCAGAAATTTGAACAAAGAAGAAATATTGCCGCGGAATAATTTGGCTCCATTTTATTTCGTTAGTTCTCATCAGCCGCGTACAATCTGATAAAACGACTTAGAAAAGCTATAATGACTAGAAATGTGAACAGGAGAATAAATAGTAACGTGGAAATGCATAAGGGTAGTGTAACGGATATGGGAGAACTATGTCGAGCTGTATTTCATACAGTCTCCAACCACCATTGTACAATTTTAACAGATCTTTGTCCATTAGCAAGCATACTGTCAGAGCGTCATAGTAAAATAAGGCATTGAGGTTTATACGGTGTCTAAAGCGTTACGTTCCTTGAAAAAATTAGTTAGCAGTTGTGTTTTATTTTATTTATTTTTGATTACAGCTTGATTCCACACTGTATTTTTGGTACAAGTATGGAATTCTCAGCATGGATATCGGTAGCCCACATCTTGCAGGCCGACCATAGATATCAGGTGTGCGTCGGCAGGGGGTCGAACCTCGGACCATGTGCATGGTCAGCGAGAGTCCTAACCACTGTGCCACCAACGCACAGGGTGGTAACAAAAGAAAATTAGTAATAGTTACGTAATTAGACAAGAGAAGATCAAAATTTTAAAATTTCGGTGCACATGAGGTCAGATGAGAAGTTGATGATGTAATACAGTGAGCAGAACTCAGACGATCAAGAAAAAATTATCTAGATATGATAGAGAAGATTTGTAGCTCAGGTGGATAATTTTGATGTGGTTTTGTTCTCTGAGCTGGATGGTTAGTTTGCGAAGCTTTCATAGCCCTACTGGGTGACATCTTCAGCGCATACTTCAAGTTGAAGTGAGCTTTTAGGTTTCTCCACGAGTTTATTAATCATTCCTCCTGGCGACCTTGGACGTGATTGGTTGTTTATGTGTGTTTTCACACCTTCTAGGTTACTTGTGTTGGAACTGATTGTTTCTGTGACTTGAACTTTGACCCTTTGTGTCTGAAGTTTCTTTCTTATTGGTTGATAAATTTTGTCTATCTCGATGTGTCTATTGATTGATGATTCACTGGAATGCCAGCCAAGCTTCTAAAAATTCTCTAGCATTCCTGTTATTTCCTTTGTCTAATATTTGAACGTTGTCCCACTACACACAGACAACCACGGACATCAATTCGACTGGGGCAACGTACAAATATTAGACAAAGGAAATAACAAGATTGCTAGAGAATTTTTAGAAGCTTGGCTGGCATTCCAGTGAATCATCAATCAATAGACACATCGAGATAGACAAAATTTATCAACCAATAAGAAAGAAACTTCAGACACAAAGGGTCAAAGTTCAAGTCACAGAAACAATCAGTTCCAACACAAGTAACCTAGAAGGTGTGAAAACACACATAAACAACCAATCACGTCCAAGGTCGCCAGGAGGAATGATTAATAAACTCGTGGAGAAACCTAAAAGCTCACTTCAACTTGAAGTATGCGCTGAAGATGTCACCCAGTAGGGCTATGAAAGCTTCGCAAACTAACCATCCAGCTCAGAGAACAAAACCACATAAAAAAATTATCTCTTAAGGGAGTCAAGCGACAAATAAAGGGAGGGGGTGGAGTGAAAAGATAAGCTAACAAAATTAGAAAACAAAAAAGTTACTAAGAAGTGAGTCACTAGGGTAATTGAAGTCCAACAACGGATTCATTTTGGACACATAAGTTAGGCTTCAATCGTTTTATTGCTATGCCTTCAGCAAACCTGAGAAGACTTGAGGTACTTTGTCTGTTAATTATTTTGAATGAGTCCAGCACATCAACTCGATGTCCTGTGTCAATCAGGTGTTTGGCGGCGATTAAAGAGCTTAAACAATTCGGTCCCTTTAACCGGAGACTCCTTAGTACATGTTTGCAGAATCTGAAGTAGGCCCTCCTCTCTGTTCTTCCAATGTAACTGCTCCGGCAGATACATGTGAATTTGTATACACAGTTGGAGGTAACATGTGACGGTTACTTGTCAATCTTTGACTGCATCAATGAAGAGGTTGTACGGGATAGAGAAACTAATAACGCTGCAGGATACGTCCTAGACAGGGCTACGCTTAATCTTTTATTAACCATTCTCATAATTCGTCGCCCTTATAGTCAAGTTTGAGAAGAACTTAAACAGTTTGAGAACAGAAACAACAATTCAGAAATGGTATCACCTTTGAATGCAAGACTCATAAACAGTTTTTTCTTCGGACTGTGATTTGTTTAGGGGCGGATTCTTTCTTGATGTTACGTTGTAGGATTTCCATTGTTAAGGAGATTTGATCGAAGGTGATCTAGTTCACTACCGATTGTCTCCAAAGAGCGGAGAAGAGAGAAAAAGACTTAGAAGAACTATAATGACTGGAAATGTACGGGAGAATGAACAATAACGTGGAAAAGCATAACGGTGGTGTATTGGATATGGGAGAACTATATCGAGCCATATTTCACATAGTCTCCAGCCACCATTGATTCTTAGCCACCCGAGGAACCCAACCAGTCAGACAGCCTACATCCCCTTAGATGGCTGAAACCGACAGTCATAGAATTGATGGGTTGGCGTCAAAGAGGGAGTGGATTTGATCACCCCTAACCTTTTCTCAACCTAATCCTATGTCACCTAAAATTACTTGTAAAGAAAACTGATGTCTCTACAAGTGGAGCACGTGCCCTAGCAATCTGATCATCATCTCTTGCTTATCTAACTCTTTGCGCCATATTAAACCATTTCACATGACATATAGATAGAACGCAAACACCTGTTAGTATATGTGTAAAATTTGGGCACTGTGGCAGTAAGTAATTCCATATTAGTTTGTTTATTAGACGCATCACACAGTAACTGAAACAGTATTATCATTCACGGGATGACACAGTTTAAAACACAATTTATTGCTGTTCATAATCATATCATCAATTATAATCACACGACATCAAAACTTGAGTCTCATAGTTTTCTTTGTTCCCTCCTATTTGTCGTCGTAGTAGGGTTAGTAGAATGTTCCAGACATCTGGGTGGACAGGTGTTGAATCCTTCCTATTACACGTATTTGCAGTTGATTCGATAAACAAAGCTTCTGTTATCAGTCTCTCCCTCCTTCCACCCTGTGACATTAGATTTTCAAACTGTCATCTTATCCCATCCTATCCTATGCTCTATGGTTGTGTGTAACTGCATGTAGTGCTGTAGCTGCCGAACTATTCTCTAGATTTCTTATCTTATTCGGGTCAACGAATCCAGATTTTGCTACGTTTTTATGTTCGGCTAGTCTGACTGGCCCTGTTCTACTACTTTGACCTATGTATTTGACCTGACAATCACTGCATGCAGGGTATTAGATAAACTAAATTGTTTTGATTTAAACGCTCCAGAGGACTGATGCTTTAAACGACAATGCTTGTTTCTAATTGAGTTTGTGGTTGGTTTGACAGCCAGCCACTCTTATTTCTACCCTGTCAGGAATTGAGCTTAAGGTTTCCGAGGTTCCTTCCTTGTATGGAATTACTACTGATGATTTAGATTCCTTATTGTTGGTGGTGTCTTTCGCATATTTGACTTGCATGTCGTCATTAATATTATTATCACTATCACTGCTAATATCATTTATTTTATTTTCACATTTCCCTAGAAATTTTTTCCCTAATTTATCAGGGAAATTCTTAAGTTTCAAGGCTTCTCTTATGTGTCAATTTCTGTTTTATATTTTCCTTGGAACTACTTAGTTTTTTGTACGCTGTCACAGTCAGACTAGCCAAACATAAAAACGTAGCAAAATCTGGATTCGTTGACCCGAATAAGATAAGAAATCTAGAGAATAGTTCGGCAGCTACAGCACTACATGCAGTTACACACAACCATAGAGCATAGGATAGGATGGGATAAGATGACAGTTTGAAAATCTAATGTCACAGGGTGGAAGGAGGGAGAGACTGATAACAGAAGCTTTGTTTATCGAATCAACTGCAAATACGTGTAATAGGAAGGATTCAACACCTGTCCACCCAGATGTCTGGAACATTCTACTAACCCTACTACGACGACAAATAGGAGGGAACAAAGAAAACTATGAGACTCAAGTTTTGATGTCGTGTGATTATAATTGATGATATGATTATGAACAGCAATAAATTGTGTTTTAAACTGTGTCATCCCGTGAATGATAATACTGTTTCAGTTACTGTGTGATGCGTCTAATAAACAAACTAATATGGAATCGCAAACATCTGTGTTCGAACACAGCTAACCTTTCCATATCTTCCACTTTCAGTAGCCATTTCTATCTCACAGTCATAAAGCAAGACTGAGTGAACTATTACTTAGCACACACCACCCCTGATATCATGTCAACACCAGAGACAACGTAAAAAATATAGGGAAAACTTGAAAGCCAATACTTAAACATTAAAACAAAAGGATAGAATTACATTCAAGCGTATAAAATAAAAGTGTATCTTACATTATCATTTTCCACATGAACCGCATCTTTTAGCATTGATTTAGTAAACTCTTCTAATGGTCCTTTGTCACAATTCCCTTTAGTATTTGAAATTCGGGTACAATCTCGTCTGTACTGGAGGATATAAGCGTGTGGTTCATCATAATGATAGAATTTGTATTCTTTACCACCAATTCTTGCTTGTTTCTGATGGATATATCGATCAGGTTTTCCTCCACCCACTTGACCTCCTCCAGTAATACCTGTACCAGTTATTCGACCTGCTGGTTTACGATACATAGACAGCAAGGCATTCTGTTCATTCCAACCGTATAAATGGGTGACACTTGTCCTATTAATCTGTGGTTTGTATAAATTCTAAAAATGGTTGAGGAAGAAATTCTGTTTAATTTACTACTACTGAGTTGATCCACTTTGATAAAAAGACAAACAAAGTAAAGGGGATTCAAGTGTTGGTTTGTAGGGATTTGATTGATTTCAGGATTTCATCATGAGCTGACATTAGTTAGAGAACCATTGGAAAACCTGTCCAGTACTCCCAGGTTTTCCAATGGTTCTCTAACTAATGTCAGCTCATGATGAAATCCTGAAAGTAAAGGGGAGATATCGTCTGCTAAAGATTAACCTTCGACTGACTTCAGTTAGAGAACGTCTGAAAACCAACAACGAGTACGGGACAGCTGTTTTTGTAGCAGTACGGCTTCGCCCTCAGAGCCCCAGCATAGTGTTAGAAAGATTCTTACACAATGCTGCTAACTGCTTTTAGTCTAATCGCTTTCCTAACAACCTTCCTGGCGTGTTAGGACCTGCAGGAACATTGGTTCCAGCCAGTGCAGCTTGTTGGGTCATGACGATGTGCAAGCCCGACCACCACACCAAGGTAGCAGCTATCAGCTATCAACCACCTAACAACAATCCAAATCGTTGTACCGCGATGTTGAAGCACCGGTGGCGGTGGGTAATTCCCCAGAATTATTGGCCACAGCACTCACCACTGAACACTGGATGCTGACCCTAGCTGTTTAAGTCAACTTGTTTAGCTGAAGGCTTGCGGTCAAGCATCCACGCCATTTAGTACACCGTCATGTCACGTTCGTTCGTTCACGATCCATGGCTTCTTAAGCAATCATCTCCCACTCCGATTTGGTCCCGAAATATAACTCGTAATTTAGGCGGTCATTTCTGGTGTTTTGCTTTGCCTTTGGTCTACACGGGAGGAATACTATAGAAGTTGTGGGTACCAGATCTTGCGTTGGTATACGTCGTACTAATTGTAAGCATCGACACTCTTAGCCTCTAAACACCTAACCTGTTGAACATATTCCTAACCTGACTAGTGAAATTCAGTGAGTACCAATCCTTAACCTTAGATGTATGACACTGTTTACATTCTAACGACTGAAGAAATATGCCTTAAGTGTGATATTTGTTATATTGTTTAAATAATTGCAAGTATTTAAACAGAAAGGATGGACTGCTCATACTGATGACAGCCAAAAATTATACTCAAGTCGTCTTCGCACCATCGCAGAAATAAGTAAACTTAAAGAACTTACAGTAAGCGATACGCGATACACGAAAATGTAAACACTCGTGATTTATGAGTTATAAAGTATAATTAAGTCACAAATACACACACTGAGTATCAAGAGAAGTGGACATTTACGTGTTGTTCCACTTAATAAAACTGTGACCCAGATAACCATCAGTAATCAAGTGAATCACCATACTCAACTTTGGTAACTGTCTTGCTATTTTCTGACTTAGATCTTTTTGTAAAAATTCTTAGATTGTGTTTAAGTGGTCCATTGTTCTGACGGCTTTGTTTATTTTTGAACAGCGAAGCTAATTTCAGTCCAAAGAATACTATTCTACACAAAACTTTGATTGACTGATTGACTCACAGAGCAGAACATTCTCTAGAATTAAGATTCCAAAGGTATGAGACACTTTCGCATAGTTATTCATCTATAGACTTTGGGTGATAAAGGACAGATTAAAACGAACAACTTGTATTACACAGAGAGTTCTTTGAAATATCATAACTATTAAGTTGGATATTTTGGTCTACTCAAATAATGACGGTGATATCAACTGAAGACAACAAATGGAACGCATAATGTGTAATACTGGCTAACACATAAAGGTAGTCAGTAGTCATTACTGACCAGTATTAAGTGATTTGTGCGTCGGTGGAAGAGCGGTTAGCATGCTCGCCGACCATGCACATGGTTCGGGGTTCGATCCCTGGCCACTGGACCCACTTGTTTACCTCACTTAGCTAGTAATAAGACTTGTAAAGAGGGAAGGTTGGGCATGAGGCTAGCAACCCTATCCTGTAAAAATAAACACTGCCACAGAAACTTCAAGCCACCAGCTTGAAGTGAAAGAATGTGAAGGAAATAAAAAAATGAAGTGATTCGATCTTGATGCAATTATTTCACTTAGTCTGACACCTAGCAAATTGGTCATTTATCAACACATACAGACACCATCAACAGATTTTTCTATCATGTTAAAAATTAGCCTCAGTTACATTTACTTACTGCATTATTCACCAAATTTCTTTTCTGTACAGTTGACTCCAACTTCATTCAAAATTTCTTAAAATTTGTTCAGTAATATCCGAAGAAATAAAATGTCAAAATCAAACTGAATCAACATTCAGTTAAAAGTGTGATCTAAAAGAGAGAGAGGGAGAAAAGATTGGATACTAATATTATGAAGTGATTCAAAAAGTTAGGAATGGATGGGTTATATTAAACCTTAATAATTATATGAATATGACTATGCGGTAAATACAATGAGATCTGAAACATCAACTCAGGGACTACATGAGCTCTGATGGCTCGCACCAAGTTGGCTGTATGGAAGGATACTCAACGGCCATAGTGGCTTGTAGTGACGCTATATAATACCAGCTGCCAGAAGTTAGAATTCGTTAGCTATTGGATTTCTTGTATCCTATGTTGTCTCACCGGCTGAGTGGTCAGCTGATTGAACTCAAAATGTCAAGGTCTTGAGTTCTAATTATTAATTATTCTAATTATTGCCCATTAGTGGCAAACTAGAACGAAATAATCCAGTCGGCCAAAAATTGGCGAAGAGTAGTTGAACAGGAAAGTAGGGGTTAAGTAATGGCATAATTTTTCACCTTTACGGTGGTTGCGCCACAGGATGATCCTGTATGTGGTCTCGTCTCGCAAGAGGCAGGGATGGGTGTGTTTGGTTCCCCTGAAAACCAACACCCAGTCGATGGGTATATCACTATGTGAATTACCGAAGATCAGGAACCTGTATCTCACAATCAAGAGGTGAGCACAAAGAAATCAAATTGGTTTATACTAGCTCGTAAAAACGACACTGAATAAGGTTGAATCGTGGGAAATCTTCGGTTCAGAAATAAGACAATGCTGAATAAATTTTTTTCAATAACGTTCGAAATGGGAGAATTCGCGTCAAACAATCGCCATCCCTAATTGCCCATCATCCACCCACTTTTCACCAGATTTTTCCAATTGCGAACTGTCCAGTAATCCCTGGTTTTCAGTGGCTGTTGAAATGATGTTGGTTCGGAATAAAACTTAACTTAAAATAAATCTGCCTTAGATAAAATTAATGGAAATACAACATTAACAATTGCTTTAAAAATTTACCAGAATTCTGGTAAATAACTGATTAATCAGTTATTAGTGAACTTAAAATGTTTGTGACAGCTAATCTCTTAATGAAGGCTTTTTTACATAACCTGTATACTCAAAATACTGTGAATTAACAATCGGACATTTTATTACGTATGTTTTCTTTAGTGCACGTTAACACATTTTTAAACTTGCTCACATCTCGTAACTAAGACGCAGAGGATGATGACCTTATTCAATGTCCAATATCCAATATCCTGATTACGAGCTAGTATAAACCAGTGATTTCTTTGAGCTCGCTTCTTGATTGTGAGGTAGAGGTTCCAGATCTTCGGTGAGCTTCTGCGTAGTAAGTCCCGCCACTCGACTGCTTTAGCTCTGGTAGACTCCAAGAGGAGTGGTGCGGGGATTGGTCGAGATGTGGTTTGTAGTATGCAGTATGTTAGGACTGTATTGCTGCCGTGAATGGAGTTTGACCTAACTCCCGTTGGTCATTCGGTGTAGTCATAAAAGCAGAATAGTAATAATAATAATAGGTTGTAGTGTAGATAATATAGGTTGAGATAAGTGGAATAATAAAGGTGACCTAAGGAAAAGATAGAGTGAGAGAAGGCAGAATAGGTCGTGGGGATTTAGTTTGTACGCTTATCCATTGACAGTGTGGTTTCAAGTTTTATGAGGATAAGCCATTGAGACACAAACCTTGCATTTCTGCATGATTGTCTAGCTTCCGCTTAAAAATCTCCACAGATGGCGCTGTAGTCACGGCCGCCGGTAAAGCGTTCCAGAGACGGCAAACACGAAGCGAAAAGAAATGTGATCGCACTCGAGTCTTTGGTCTCTGGTGTGCTATCCTTAGCGGGTTACCTCGTGGAAGCCTATAATCACTTAATGGCAGGATGCTTTTATTTGGGTGGGCCTGGTCATTTAGGATCTGGTAGACGGTGATGAGGTCTCCCCTGTGCCTACGGTAACTAAGTGTGAAAAGACCTAATTTCTTTAGTCTTTCCTCATATGATTTGTTGCGGAGGCCGATCACCCATTTTGTCGCTCGTCTCTGGACACTTTCTAGAATGTTAGTGGAGGTGCAATGATATTATGCACCTCAAGGTGTGGCCTCACATATGCCTTATATAACCTTAAGAACAGTTCGGGAGTGAGAGCTCCCAGCTGCCTGTGCATAAAGTGTAATGTTGCGTAGGCTTTGGCGACGTCCCTCGAGTAATTTCCACTGGTGTCTAGCTTTTCTGTTAGAATAAGACCTAGATCACGCTCTGATGGAACACAACTCAAGTTCTGGCCACCAAGGGTGTAATTTACACTCTGTGACCTGCCGGAATGAAGTTTGCACTTCTTTAGATTGAAAGGCATTCCGTTAGCCAAGCCCATTTCCCAGAGTTTGCAGGTCAGCCTGCAATCTATCTGAGTCTTCCGATGAGTTTATTGCTCTCCAAATCTTTACGTCGTCAGCGTAAAGAAGCGCAGAGCAGTTTAGTTGTGGGGGCAGGTCGTTGATAAAAATCAAAAACATCAACGGCCCTAGGATAGAACCCTGAGGAACCCCTGATGCCGAGGTGTGCCAGGATGATCGGATGCGGTTGACTTTGGTGCAGAATTCTCTCTCGCCTAAGTAATCTTTCAGCCATGCGAGAAGTGCTCCAGAAACACCCGCCTTGCTTATTTTGTGAAGGAGCAGACCATGGTGAACTGTGTCGAATGCTTTCGCAAAGTCGAGAAAGATCACGTGGGCTGGTACCTTTTTGTCCCAGGATAGTGTCCAATCGTTCCAAGCTAGTAGAAGATTCGTCACGCAGGATCTTCCCCTCCTGAAACCGTGCTGTGCTTCGTGAAGAAGGTTAGTCCCATCGAAGTATTTTCTCATGTGGTCGTCAATGAGACTTTCCAATATCTTCGATATCACTGGAAGTAGAGCAACTGGTCTGTAACTGGTCACATTCTGCCGGTCACCACCCTTGAAGATAGGGGATAGGATTGCACGTTTCCATTCACATGGAAGTTTCCCTACATCAAGGGAGTGTTGGAACAGATCACTTAGGGGTTGGCAGAGACTTTCTGAACACTGCTTCAGGACAGATGGTCTGATGTCATCACAACCTGAGACTTTCCCGAAGCCAACCTTCCCAATTTTGCAAGTACCATAGCCGGGGTAATTTGAAATGTACCCAGCAGGTTTTCGCGCGTTGGTTTTGCGATGTAATCTGGATGTTCTGTGGGGTAATATCCTCGTTACTGTTTAGTTGCCTGTGAAAGGCTAGGCTGAATGTCTCTGCCATTTCAAGACTAGTAAGAGATTTCCCATCAGAACCCACTAGATTGCATGCTCCCTGGTTGGTCGGTTTTCTTTCGGCCATAAACCTGTATAGGCTTTTGGGGTTCACGAGAAGCTTATTGGCGAGGTTTCCCTGAAATGTCCTTCTATCGCTCCGGACTCGTATGTTACATCGATTCCTGAGTTCAAGGTACACTTCATATTCGGGTTGACTCTTCGATCGTCGCCACGCGAACCAGGCTTTTCGCTTTGCCTGCAGAAGGCGTTGTGTCCCCCTTTTTAGCCATGATCGTTGCTTCCTAGCTTTTGGTGTGACTAAAGGAACAGTGTCTGAGACCGCCTGGTGAATGATCTCCTTTACCACTCTCCAGTGTTCTTCTACTGTTAGCTCTGTCCATTTTTTAGGCCAATTTGCTTCAGACAGAAGTCTTCGCATTTTGGTGTAATTGGCTTTGTTATAACACAGATAGGGCTGTGTATTGTCCCACTGTAAGCGCTCGCGGAGGACTATGTCGAATACTATGACCGCGTGGTCACTACTACCTATGGGAGTCGTGATCTGAACGTTTTCCACTAGTAGCTGGTCACTAGTGAGCACGTAATCCAGTCTAGAAGACTTCCCATCAGGGCCCCATCTAGTATCCATCTTGACATTTTCAGTGAATCCAGCCTTCCTGATGGTATGCAGCAGATTTCGATCAAATCTATCATGGGCTTTTCCCGACACCAAGTTAAGAGATGGGGCATTGAAGTCACCAGCTATGACAATTTGATCATAACCCATGTCTTGAGTCGCTGAATTGTATTTAGCAGTACCTGGTTGTGGTCTGCTCCACATGAAGGTGATCGATAAATGCTGCCCACTAGATATTTGCAGTACCCAACGGTGAAGTGGCACCATATGGAGTCAGGGAGCTCTGTGAGGGGAGGGTCCACCGCGTGAACACATCTGAGCTGTTTGTCGACGTATATGGCGACTCCACCTCCTTCTTTCAGGTCCCTATCTCGCCTGACTAGGACCATATCATTTATACTGACTTCGCTGTCTGCCACCGTAGGGGTTAGCCAGGTTTCCGTCAGTATTATGATTTTGGAGTTTAGTTGTGATTGTAGGTGTCTAAGTTCAGCTATTTTGCCTCTTAGCCCTCTCACATTACTATACAGGCAACTGGTAGTCAGTCTCACCACTTCCCCGTATTGGGGGGTAGTTGACTTGATATTGGCTATCGGTTGAGGAGTTATCCTACGAACTAGTTGGCCGATTCCCCAGGAACCGGCCTGTTGGCGTTTTTTCTTCTAGTTCAGTTGGAGCACTCGGATGACACTGGCTATCATCGTCCGTGCTGCACCGCTGTAGTGTGACTAGGGGTTGAGGATTTTTTTTACTACGCTTTGTTCTCTCCTTTGAGTGCGAGGCCGGCTCTCGCAGCAGCGAATGTGTTTGCTGACCTTGTCCTTGGTCTCGTACCATCTATGGAGAGCGGTAGTCAACTGGTCTTGGGAGCTGAACTTGACAGCTAACAGACGTGGCGAGTTAATTGACATAAGATGAGTGGGTCGAGGCAGTCTATAAATAGAGACAGCCCCTGAACTTCCCAGGGCCATCTGGGATGCCAACCATCTCCATTGTTGTACATCATGACAATGCTTTTCGCAGGCGTTCCCAGTTACCAGTTCGGGAATGCCATGCACAACCATGGAGGCAGAAGGAATGAGCTCTGGCGACTCCCTCGCCATTTGTCTTTCCTTCCACGGCCTGTCTGGCTTAACACGTATGTTACAGGCCCTCCCTATAGAAAGGACTTGAGAAGCCAGTAACACTTTTTCAACATCCTCGGTAGAGCCCAATGTTACCCTCAGTGGGGATGGTTTGCCTTCAGGTGCAGCAGTGCCCCTATACAATCTGCATAGATTTACTGGTTGGATGTCCAAACCCAGTGTGCTACACAAGATGGACCACTGTTCCTGATCAAATAGGGCCCTATCTTTCAGCAGACTACTGCTACAGTCTGGTACATTAAAGAGGATTACACAATTTGATCTGCTAACCGTGGGCTTGGGCTCGGTCCTCGCACGTTTGTGATCCCCTTTAAGACCGTTTTGGTTTGTCTGGTGCGACTGGGTATTTTTGTGTGTCTCAGTGCTATGGCCAGCATTACTGGCAGACGATTGGGGTCTTTTTCCAACGACGGAAACCCGTGGTTCTCCAGCCTCTGTGTCTGGAGCGGTTATGGCAAGAGTTACAAGTTTAACCGGTGAGGATTTTGGTATCCCCGGTTTACGTGCGTTTGTACTAATTTCCGGATTGGTGGGGGTCGAACATTTCACATTTTTCCCCGCTACTTCTGCGCCATCTTTAGTTTTCAAAGGACTACGCGAGGCTACATCAGGACGGCAACTCGGGCATATGTACCAGAACCATTGGCATGGGTTCTTACGCATAAAGTCATAATATGCTTTTGGTACCCCATTGTCGCATCTGCAATGCACCCATCGCTTGCAAAAGTTACATTCGAAGGCAGAGTCTGCTTGTTCGACAACAGAAGCGCAGACCTTGCAGTCGTCTGTCTTCTTGGGGAGCGTTCTTGTCGTCTTGCGACGTCGTGAACGTTTCTTTTTGGCCTTCCTATTTGTTTCATGGTCTACCATGGGGATGGGTGTTATGAAGTTCTCACTTAGTGCAATTTTCCCACTAGTCGTGTTAACAGGGGTGGAGCCACATCCACTTGGCTGACTTTGCACAGCTTCACTGTAGGACTGTGGCGACATGGGTAATCTGTACGAGCAGGGAATATTAGCCCTGGTCTTCAAGACCGGTATGCGTGAGTCCATCAGCTTCACCTGTTTGCCTAGTTTGGCTGAAGCCCTGGTGACTACAGAGTATGATGTCCCATTACTTATTTTA